CAGCCGCTGGCACATCAACTACCGATAAGTCTTGGTCTTTATTTAAAGCTTTCTCTCCAGCACTTTGGTTTTCATCATCATAATCATCTGATCCCGCCTCATCAGATCCATAAGCGAATAGTTGATCTGAAGTTAAAATTGAAGCTTCTGGCAAATCTCGGATACAAAGTTCATACCGTTGCTGATGCCGACGACCCACCTCGCCCAAATACAGCAAGTTAAAGATGCGGCTCTTCAAGGTCGGGTGATTCTCTTGAAAAAAAACAAGCAGTTGGAAAAAGCTCTCAAGAATTTTCACCATGTTGGGGTCATTTCGTGAATTACTTCCTGAAGTGTCAAGATAAAATCGGATGAGTGTCTGGATATCAAAGAATGAAGCCGGTGAAGTGACAAAAGATGCTGCAGATAAAGATGCAAACATTAAGCGCGAGGATGCAGCAGATAAAGAATTTGAAAGCAAACTAAAGGACACAGCAGATGGTATAAATCCACTTATGATACCTTTTATTGAGCTTCTTAGGCCATCCTGCGGCGCTGAAAAGTTGTGAACCCAGGCATCTGAGGTATCATGAATCCCCTCAAGAGGTGAGTCTACCGTGGAAAGGGGAGGAAAAAGATGAAAATCGCCTCTTCTTTTTCTGCTCTGACTCTCTGATTCCATTGCTGCTATGGATGAACCCCTTTCCGTTAACACTTCATGGAAATCTTTTTTTTGTTTCCAGTTATTCATTTTTTCATGGGATTCCATGTGAGACGAGGTATAAAGACGCTCCCTAGTGTCGAAATTGATGGCTTGAATACCCAGGTGCCCCTCCTCAGCACATTCTTCCTCAACTCTGTCAATTTCTGTAGCAGTGTACTTAAAAGGAAGATTCTTAATTGCTTGACGTCCTGCAATCTGGCTTATTCTCTTGGTGAAGATCCAAAAAGACTCAGACCGAAGTTGGTGTTGGACAGGGTAAGTTGAAGAAAGAAATAAAGGTGCTTCTTCTGGACTCTTCTGGATCTTTAGAAACTGTGAACTTGATAAACGTCTTTCTTGACACCACTGTCGTTTTCGGTTTCCCGTTTGATAATAACTTGTGCGAACGTCGATGCAAGGCCTGCAAGGTGATGCAGACCTTGCCCTACACAGCTTCCTCTGAGAAGGCGGATCCAAGAAATGGGACACAGAGGAAAGAGGCATGCTTCTATTCAAGTTGGAAATCTCAGGCGATGATAGGCATCCGTTGCTACTGTTTTTCCCCTCTTTCTCATTTTCCTCTCTCATAGCACGGCAGCAAATGTATTTTTTGCACCTGTGAACTTGCTCATTTAACTTATTACATTGGCTTCCCACCTGCATCGGGTCATCATTGTGAACCCCACAATGGTTGTTTTTCTCTACAATATTGGAACAACGCGACACACTCATAAGAATGGGTGACGTTTTCTCGGAGGGTCCTGGTTCGATTGAATCGGATGGTTTCCTAGGTATATCACTCTCTTTGGAAATTACTTGTCTCGTCCCACAAAGAGAAGTATCTCTGGGGGGAGAGATCCTCTGTGCTGTCTTCTCTGCATCTTTGTTTATATTATGCAAGATATGCAACATTCTGGCATAGCATGGCTCATGAAAAATACAGCTGCAGCTGGTGCACTTAAACACTTTCGAAAAAAATGGAACTTTCTCGTGACATATATGGCAGTTTATCTTCCATGGAACAAGTATGGTATCCTTTGTAAAAGTGTGACAACAGAAAGGAGTTGTCATGTGTTAATATGCGTAGGTATACCAACTAACTTTTATTTATAAACAGTGTAACAACAATGAAATAGAACAAACAGTTCTTTCAACTATTAATACTAAGTAGAAGAGTGTGCATCCCCCCAACCTTTGTATTTGAAAAGAATATAAGCTAATAAAAAAAGAGCAAGTTTGAGTATAAATGCTATTTTCGTTGTAAATAGCTCTTGTGATAGGTTTCATTAATATTCTTGTTAATAGTAGTATCTGTATTTTGACAAGTTAATTTTCAAAGTTCATTATATAATATAATTGTTCGTAGATAGACGAATATCTGAAACTATTTTGTGCTCATATTATTTCCAATGCTTCCACGAATTTTTTTTCATTTTAGAATCTGTGGGTACACGGGGATTGAGTAAGATATTGTTGCCGATATTCTACTTCCACAATAGATATTCCTTATGATAAAGGGAAAAAAGACATGCAATAAATAATAATCAAAGAGTAATATATGTAATCTGGGAACTACATGTTTAAATCTAAGTCCTGGGATTACAAAAACATTCAAAGCTGCCAAGCAATAAGTTCATAATATACGTATAAACGCAAATATGTATACGTATATATATATATATATATATATTGTTTTTTATTTATTTATTTATAATCTTGTAGAAAGAAATGAAAAGACTTTTCTGACCATAAAAAAAAGCAATTAATCACAGTTTTCGTATAAGTATTTTTTATTCCCTTTTATCACACTATTCCTGATTTTGAAGCATGGATCATTTGTCTTAATACTTTCCAACAATGAGCCATGAGAAAAATGTATGTCTTTCGAATAACCCACACAAGAAAGATATCGTTAAAAGGACAACTATAAATGCATAAGGAATGCGAAAATGAAGAACAGGCCTGAAAATTCTTTGCAGTAATGGAAGTAGAATATTGGTGAGCTTTAGTGGACCATAAAAATTACTGATTGCCCCTATCTCTGTAAGGAGCTCCCAATGCGTATCGGAGACACTAGTGTTATTGTAAGCGGTACGATTTCCCGAATTACTTTTAAGAGCACTATGTACATTTTGAGCCATGAGCGAAGTTGAAGTATCAGTATTATAATTGGCTGTATTAAAGCTACTCGGAATATGAACCTCCTCCGGTGGGATAGATTTGGAGACATCTGTCTGCAGTGCCTTGGGTTTCTGCGTAGCGGAAAAATGAGGCAGACCGTTATTCGAACTCTCTAATCTCGGTTCATTCAATTGACTAGCATTCACAGATGCTCTACCGTTATCCTTTGAATTTACATGCATTGCTGAGTTTTCTGGGATGTCCTCTTGAGACTCGAAGATACACTTTAACCGCCTCCGTGCGATTGTGTCATCTCTCAGCACAGAAGATACCATGGACCCGCTGCCACAGCGGCTTTTCCAATAGTTTTTAGAGGCTTTTTGTATCTCAGGAGTATTTTGAATCGGTTTCATCGGGCTCCACTGACTTAAACAGGTGTTGACCATAGAAGTCGGCACAACGGTAAAGAACAAGTAGATTGTGTCCTTTATCTCTGTTAGATTTAGTTGCATACTGGGGTCTTGATATTTTCGAATGTATTCTGCATCCAGCGAAAAGGTCAACACAATAGATTCACCAGGCCCGATAAAACCACTCGAAGGTCTCATTGAGTATTTACCCTGTACAACACTGAACGCCTTGAATGAAACAATATTCTCTTTCGCATTGCCCTGGATTTTCGGTAGTACATTTTTTACCTCTGCAACGTCTTCAGTGGTGGAGTTGATAAAAGGTAACGGAAAAAAGAGCTTCCTCTTGGAAAGTTGAATGTCAGGTTTGTTCAGCATACTTGATTAACATACACTATAATCCTTATCTGTATATGTGTATGTGTAAGAAATTTTTAAGCACCACAACTATTTGGTATCGTTGTTTTCATAAATGACACAAAAAAACTAAGTTATAATATAAAAAACACTTTTCTGACCTTTTTGCCTTAAATAGTATATATTTACGTTTATTCAATATGCTTGACGGTATGTGTATGTCGATCAATTTTGTGCGATAAAGATATTGAATTGTTAAGTAAACTAGATAGATCAAAACATCAGAATAAGCATTTTTTATGTATGTTTATATATAATAAAAAAGCGCCTGTCTTCTATTAGACTCTCTTAATGCGTATGTGTCTTCCAGTTCACATTCAAATAAAATAAACAATCTTAATAAATGTAAAAAAAGAGTATTTAGCATAAGAAAGGGAATGTAAAAAAAACTAATTCTTAAGGTTACAATAAATTTTGCAATATGCTTCAGAGTTATAATTTTCCCTCTCTTGTGTATTTACTTCTTTTATCCAGGTTGGTCATTGCAATAGATATATCCCTCTTTTTATCATCCTTTAGCAGGTGCAGCTACGCGAAGTAGTGTCGTTATTGTTAGTTATATTAGGATTGGATGAAGTCCCCAAGATGTTACAAATGCTTCTTCCACTATCAGTGACCCCAGTGGTACTGCTTGTCATTGCTAACACCGCTGAACACACTTGCACGCCGCTTTCCGCATCAGTTGGGCTTAGCTTCCCGTTGAGAACATTTTCATGAACCTTTTGCGCAATCGATAAAAATACTTGTACAACATTGTGTCCGCTTAGTGCACTGCATTCCATGAAATGTAGGTTGTTATCTTCTCCAAACTTCGCAGCCTCTTCAAATGATACCTCACGCTCATCCTCAAGATCACTCTTGTTACCGACAAGGAGGATCTCAATGTGAGGACTAGTATTGGAGCGTACTTCCTGGAGCCACGAGCCCACATGAACAAAAGTATCCCTGCTCGACACATCATAGACCAACAACACGGCTGCCGCACCTCGATAATATCCACGTGTTACTGAACGAAACCGCTCCTGCCCGGCAGTATCCCATATTTGGATCTTGACTAGATCACCATTAACATCTACAATGGTAGTGCCGAACTCCACACCAATGGTGTGCGGAAGATCTTTTCGAAAATGTTTCTCCGTAAAGCTCTGCATGATACAGCTTTTTCCGACACCAATATCGCCGATGATGACGTATTTGAAGATATATTTATGACTCATAATTTCAGTAATTCTATAGTTACAATTCACTGTAAAGTATACGTGATGTCTGTATTCGCCTACGAAGCAGGCCTCTAAATTCGAAAGTATACTATCTCCCCTACTCTGAATGACAAAAAGGGTCTGAAAAAAGAAAGGTAAAATCCAGTGTTAACGTTGTAATGAATTCTAGACAAAATCAACGACATTTAGCAACACTAATCTTCAAAATTTGATTGCCATATGTAGCTTTCATATGCTCCTTTTGACTGAGTGTCGGCTCTTTCCTCACCACATAAAACAATGAAAAACGAGTGTAAACAACAGAACGATATGTAATATACATGTATTTTGTATGCACTGGAATGCAATGTACATCAAAAAAAAAAATCCTATTTTACCAAATAGATATAATACAGAATATTGTTTCTTCTTTACTTTTTGGTCATTTTAAGGGTATCACCTCCCCCCCCCCATCTTAATTCATCCGATGTAATAGGCTCGCGTGCGTATTACACCTTCCAATACGCACATTCATACCCATTCACGAGAAGCACCGCATACCCGCGCAATGAACGGGGAACCTGTACCGTGGCCTCGTAACGGTAGGACTGAGGGTAGCCCGGTAGCGCCACCGGGGTCAGTTGAACTAGGTTATTAGGACTGGAAGTAATAGGGGCTTGGATTATTGAGGGGTTACGAGCACATGGCACCTCCATAGGGGCCATTGTGACCGGGGAAGCTCGCGACGCAACCTGTAGGACGTGGGGCACACTGTCTTTCGGGACAAACCAAACGACAACGTCGCAAGGCGATGAGATCGATGAAGAGGGCTCACCTACATCGGCTATCCGAAGTGAATTAGGATTGCCGCCTGGATTATCGCCTACGGCATATTTTAATCCGAAAAGAGAACTCAGGTGCCCTTTCACACGTCTCAAACGTGTGCGTCGTAGTGTTCGGTCTCGAGTCCGCCGTGTAAGAATTTCCTTGGAGTATTGTGCCTCTGCTTCATGCTTTTGAACAATTTCACGCATCTGGTCTAACTGATTATTGATATCTTCTTCATCGCGCTTCAATTTAATCAGGTCACGTCCTTTTCGTTTGGGTATTTCCGCCTCCAAACGCTGAAGCTCGTCGCAAAGGATGTACTCAACTCGAATCAATAGCTCACGTCGCTTGCTTGATAAACGAATCTGCTCATCCACCAGATTACGCAATCGGGCAATGCTAATTGACATCAGAACGTCGTGGGATAAAGCCAAAGGTACGCCTTTGTCCTTAGGACACACACTCGAAAGGCTAAACTGAGGAGAATCAAACAAGCGAATGAGATCGAGATTTCCATCTTCAAAGAAGCTAAGTGACGAGTCTTGGAACTTCGTGACAGAAGGACTAATGGTTTCCCGGGGTGAGCCCTGTTTGAGTCCACTTAAGTTACCATTGCTGCCAAGATGCGTCTTCGAAAGCTTCTGCTCGCCCTTCAGATTCTGAGATCCCCTTAGCTTTTTATCTGGTGACTTTGATTTTCTGGAGCGCTTGTTGCCACCTGGACTGCTGCCGCTTTCGTCAACATTACTTTTCCCAGCAATCTTCTTGGGACGAGAAAGACCTTCTTTTTGGTGGGCTGTTTCAGTGGCAAAGGAAGAACTGTGGGCACAGGCTCCGTCGCCGTCCGCATTCACACATGCATTCGTTGAAACAGGTTCATCCACCTGATTTTCAGTCCCGGCTGTCAGATGTACATTGTCTTCTCCACGTAAACTTCCCTCCCCAGATAAATTTGCAAGTTTTTCTTTAGACTCTGCATCAGACCCACATAACGTATCTCCTTGGTTTTGTGCCTCCTCCTGCATCAACGCGATATCAGTACTCTCCTTCAACGCCTCAGCGGCCTCAATCTCTTCAAGGGAGTAGAGGAGTGCCAGCAGTGCTTCTTTCTGCTGTGATGCTATTCCGCTGATTTGATAATCACCAGGCAAATATATCGCAAATCGCACTGGGGTGTTACTGGAATCAAAAGGAAGAACAGAAACGAGAGGTGAAAGAATGCACCCACCGCGGTCAGTGAACTCAGCTGAAATGTCGGGCCACCCACCACTCGTTCCAGCGACTGCAACCTGTGACGCATCTCTACAACTACTAAATGTGAGGAGACCGTCATTAGAACATTCTAACGGAGAAGCCCTAGCACTAAAATCAAGGTGATCCAAGAAGACTTCATAGAGTTGGGGCAAAAAAAAAGCACCACAAGCCACAGAAGCTTTGCTTCCCAGGAGTGTTTGTTCGCTGTGCGGACTCGAGACTTTCCTAGCGCCGGTAGTCCTGACTTCTGTTAAACGCATGCCGAATGCCGCTTGAGCAGCACTTCCTCGAGCCTCAGCACACGTCGTGTGCTGCAATCTTGTGTCTGGGGAAACCAACAACTTCTGTTTGTTAGAATGCATCATTTTATCGCAGTCAAGCACCGTGGCCCTCGTCTGAAACACTAATCGAATAAAGCCGATACATGTGTACCCCATCACTGCGTCTTTAGCCTTATCATGGGACGCATCGCCCACTTTGATCGACTTCTCGAAGATGCGTAGAAAACAAACCTTGTCCTCTTGAGGGGGTGAAACGGCAGTATAGGAATCAGAATCCGGTACTTGTATCGCTTGCAGAAGCTCACTGGTAACAGACATGGTGTCAATCATGATTAAAACCACATCACGGTCTGCCACACTGCGTTGTACTAAAATTTCGGGCGAGGCCTGCATCTCTAGTTGAGAGAATAAACCCGAGGAAGAATTGAAGGTGGAAGAAGTAGACAGACAGGCCCGTACATTCACACTCCTCCTATCCGCGCGTAGAACCACAACAGCCACTCCTGAGTGTCGGGAAGTGTTGAAATCGGCTTCAAAGACAAGGGGGTGACACTGTGGATACACGACTTGGACGCCAAGGTTCGAATGCAGATCCACCATCACCGGTAGTTCGGCGAAAGTAGTGCTTCTGATGAGCTGGCTGGAATCCTTGATGGCCCTAAACCCTTCAATTGGCGCTGAATTACCTGTCAGGATGGGGAGAGGAATATTTTCGGGCTTCACAATTTTTACCTCCTGGCACTGCTGCACAATTCGATTCACTTCATCTAAGGACGCATGTTTATTCATTGCAATCAACTCCAGCTCCTCATACTCAGTAGCAAGAACTATGGTCGTACAGACGTAGTTACCATTCGGGGTCCGATCCTTTTCGTCAAGATCCCCTATATTTAAACTACGTTTGTCGGACTTATCGTACGTCAGTGGGCGGCAAGCGCGCTGCCAACCAATCCCCACCACACGTGCATCACGCCACAGAAGCGGACCAAGGCGATGTGTAGCAGCAACCACTCTTTTACCTTGAGATGTCGAACCCGAATCTTGTTCAAGAAAACGCTGAACAAGGGCACCTACTGTCGTGGGATGATACATACCGCATAGCATAATTCCTGTGCACTCTGTTGTACCATTGGTCCTATCCAAGATGGGATCTGTCCCCAGAGCTGTTCCACCGTCGATTTCACTCTGTTGAAAGGTACTGCTAAAGACACTAAATTTGAAAAGACGTAAAATCTCACGATCAGTAAGAAAACGACTGATAGCCTCCATCTCATTTCGTTTCACAGTTTCAGGAAAGTGATTTCCATGAAGAACAAACTGCGGGATAAATACGCCCATAATTGCACGAATTATCACCTCTCTGGGCTTACCCGATCCATAGAGTTGGACCCCTCGTAGCTGATTGGCAACCTGGCCGTACTTACCACATGTCTCATGGGTCATGCGAGCGATGCAATTGATGCCTTTGGATATCGCTTCTATAGAAAGCTGGTGAACGAAAAGATGCGTGTTGGCATTAAAAAAGTTTGTGGCCTGATTTTTCAGACTCTTCACCCATTCCTTAAGGATGTGAATGGGATTTGCACTACCGTCCTCTTGAATTGCGATTGGAGAATTGTCTTGTAGATTTGATAGAAAGGGTAGAAACTGTACCTCCCTCCCATTTCGTAGATTTTCTGAGGAGGAAGTCAATAACATGTTTGGTGAGCTGGATGTTGGCGCTTTGGACACACAGTCACCGATAGCGTGATGAAAAAGGCTGACATTACGTGCTGCTAGATGAAGACCCCTCCTAGGAAGCAACGGTTGGACTGGAGAAACTTTTCTAAGTGCTTGCACACACTCCAAAATAAGGTTGGCGCCATCCATCGACCGTTTACAAATCAGATTCTCCACACAAAGCTTTTCCAGAATTGTGCGAAGGTGTGCCGCAAAAATGGACCTTAGCTTCTCAGCCGCCTCAAGGCGCTGCTGATGAGCCCCTTCCACATTCGTGGTACGCTCATGAGTTTTGCGATAGGGTCCTGTTTGCGGTAAAGCCATTGTGCGCAATGACGGCGTACACGCTGCCATGCCTTCCTTGCTAGTGGCATGCTGACCTTTACCAACCTTCTTATTAACCCTATCGTCATCTACATTCGTGATGTCCAGTAATGTGAGTTGGGCCAAATGCCACCGTATTAAAATATCTTCCGCTGCCTTCTCCAGTGCAATACGATGCAACTGATGTCGGCGAAGGTGTGTTCCAAGCTGTTCTAATGTCATCTCAGTAAGACCTTGTTTTTTTAAGGTGGAAGGAATTATAGTCACCTCACTGGTTGACTGCAAACCCAATTGTTGAGGGCTTCCTGTAGAACTAGCAGCACCAGAATATGCATTATTTACATGAGAACCTTGGTTGGTCGTCGATGTATTCGATTTATTAAAACGGTGTTGTGCCATGGCGGAACTCCGCCCTGAACGACCCCGACCTTTACTTGATGAACGAACGGAGAGAGGCTCAGATCCAAAGCAAGATGCACCGCTCACGGAAGGTGGGCCCTGTTGTACCAGTAAGCTCGACCTTATTTTCTGATTTCTTGACTGGGCAACAATGTTTTCATTGGATTGGTGATTTGCTTGTGGGTCTGGACTGTTTCGGGGCATCAAAAACAAAGAAATATCCTCACGCCCGGAAGGGCATGTAATCTTGGTCACACGGGCCACCGCTTCCAATAAAGAATGGGGATGATACTCATGTGCTTTGCTCGCCGCTCCATCAGTAGCGTAATACTCGTCGTCTATATAGATGAAAGGGTAACCCAATGTAGCCTCATTTTCAACTAGTGCTGCATAAGAGGCCGGATCACGGCGTAAACGATTAATTTCCTCTAGAAGCTCCCGTTCAAAAGCAGTGTATGCGTCCGATGAGGGACTCACTGCCGTGGGCAACACTACTGTATTCTGAAAGCTTCCCGAGTTCCCCATCCGCTGAATATTCTTTTGAACCAAGCTATTCAACACATGTGTAATAGAGTTCTGTAAAGAGTTGTCGTAATCCATTTCACTCCTTTGAAAAGCTTCAAGAGGTTTATTTGTGCATAACGCTACACTATTCAAGTGGTCTGGTAAAAGGTGATCGGAATTTACGTCAAGAGTGATCTCTGTTCGCTGAAGGGATGAACAGGGTGACCGAGATTCAATCAATGTTGATGGTGTATCCCGATTAAGACCAGTACAACCCTTGGATGGAAGCGAAGCAATCTGAGATGAGTCTTCCCTTATATTATTTGTGGAGTGATGCTGATCAGTACATCTGTTCTTATTATACCTAATAGATGAGCTTAATGTAAACATTTCAACAGTAAATTAAATTACTCCGAAGTACAAATATATGCTTAAACAACAGTGCTTTTATGAAATAATTAAACAACAAAGCGAAAAAATAACCGAATACCCCGTGCTAATATATATAGATATTTTATTTGGGAGGGGAGGGGGGGGGTGGGGGGTTATTATCGCTTCAGATATTGTTGCTGATTATGTTGTTTGAATATGACTGCGTTTTAAAATATACTTCGTGTATTTCTATTTCCCTGTGACTGACAGTATGGTAAGACACAGAAGAAATGTAGAACACTCAATAAGAAGAACGGGAGAGCGAGAAAAGGAGAGAAAATCTACAGTAATCGAACAGAATTTCAACCCAGAAATGCAACTTTACTCAGTTGAAATGCTTATCTAATGTTTCTTGACAGAATAGATTTCAAAAGTAAATCGTGTCTGCAGCCAGTTGGTGCAACATTTACAAAAAAAAGTTGTTTAAACAAAAGATAAAGTTAATTGATCGCATTTTGATATGAAATCAATACTGGTGATGGCAACAAATGGATACATTATCTTGTAGCTGACAACATACATATTCCATCATTTACCTGATTTTCAAAGCTTTCCACTTCTTCATATTTTGATGAGAAGTGTGTCAAGCAATCACACAATTACAAAGGTAAATAATTATTGTATAAATTAATAAATCAAATAGAATGCGCATAATTTGTTTTAAAAATGTTTTCCACAACTATTTACACAATTACCTCATTCCTTTTGAATAATCCCAATGTGTCAATCAGGAGTTTGCTACTTGTTCATTTGTTTAGATTTTTAAAAATGCACGCGCTTAATTGCAATCAAACCAGTCTGAAACTGTCAAAATTAAAAAATGAAACACAGAGGAAAATACATCAGACACAGAGTCACGAAAGCGAGACTACATATATTAAGTTAAAATATATATATATTGGTCGCTCCAGAGGGAGGCAACACTGTCAAAATTACGTATTAGTCTTCGCTCGGTAAGCCACCTGCGATCCAACTAAAAAAAAAAAGGATTGTGAAAAAACGTTGTAACATCTTTGGGAGGAAGAAAAGTATAGGCAATTTGCTATTGTCTACCTTTACCGGAAACAAAAACTTGATGACAAGCTACAAAAGGTGAAAAACGGTAAAAGTGTGAGTAGAACACTCACGGCGCAGACAGCTTGCGTAATAAAAGGTGAAGTACCTGTAAAGGTGAAATAAGCGCACTAAATATCACAAAACGGGAGACTCTTAAAATGTGGCAAGTTATACCCGGCACTACTTCTCTGCAATAGATCCTGAAACGGCTTCTAATCTTTTTATCAGGAGCACTTCGAACAAATCTCGGTCGGTCTCCCAAGTCCTTCCATCAAGACTACCCTCAATCAGCTCTTCCAGAAGAGACGGAGACGTTAGCCGCGGTCGACGGCACATGTTACCAATATCATAGGCCGTGAAGCCAAACTCCAGTGCCGCAACCTGTAACAGCCGCGTGGCACAGTACAAGGTGTTTGCCGCGGCCTGGACATCTTCAAGGTCGTGTTGGTCACAAGGAGGCTCCTTGTGCTTGGAAGACTTGGGAAAATTCACGTGCGAAGGGCCTTTGGAAGAATAGGAAGTTGACTGACGCTGGCGCAACGGTGAGCTCGTCACCCAAAGATCCTCTATAAACCACTGCTTGTTTTGTACTTGTAAAACTTGCTTGGAGGTAGTAGTAATAAAGGGGTCAGTTTCAAAGGTCTGTAGCAAAGGCCCCTGTATTGGGGGAGTGGTGCCCATCGGATTGGAACGGTTAGCTGATAGGGCCGCAGCCACAAGATCTGCATCATCGGATGCATCCAATTTTTGGATATAGTTCAAGGTCTCTAGGGAAAACGGCACCTTCGACTGAGGCCAGGACAACCACTCATAATCCGGATCCGCGTAGCCAGCAGGGCACACATAACTGTGGTCAATAGGAACCAGATGTGGCACTTCTGACTTACAGCCGCCTTCATCATAGTGCACAAGGACATTGCCGCCGTGTCGATCACTGTTTAGTGTTCGAATATCAAAAATTGCAAGGGCGTGGACTTCCTCCACAAGGAACTTACCTGGTAATACATCTGCCGCATCAATACAGTTCGGGACGAAAAGCTGTAGACTCCCGACACACACGCTAGGAGGCACTGTCTCAGGTAAATCAGAACACATATCATACTCTTGAGAAGAATTAAGACAATACACCGCCGACACTTCAAGGGTCGGAGGTATTCCAGCAAAGTGGTCATGATCAAGGCAATAAGCAAGCACCTCACGACGACTACCACTACCTGGAGTAAAACCCTCTCGATCACACTGGCAGTTTCCGTGTGGATTACACCTCTGGCCAATTTCCTCGTTACGAGGCTTAAATACGGCCAACACGTGCTGGTCGGCATCCTCAGTGTACATTTTACTATCATTAGCATCCACAGAGGGTAGGTGACGTACCATATAGGTTCCTCCTGCGCTTGTGCTGTGAAGCTCAAGCATTACCATCTGAAGAAGAGACTCCTCAAGGGCCTTTTTGGCCTCGTCAAGCAACGATAGCCGGTGTTTCTGTGGTTGAAATAAACTTGATTCCTCGAGTACGCTCTTAATAGATAGCAATGACAAATCATATTGTGTTGTTGAAGATAGGCAAATGTCAACTGGCCTCAAAAGTTTAGTATTTACACCATGCGCGCGTGGTAGAATCACACAACAGGGGCCTAATGTAATTTCTGACCGCTTTCTACTTGAAGCTAATTTGGATTTATTAGTGCATAGTGTTCTAGTATAACGCCTATCCGCACAAAATGAATCATTGTCTTTAAGATCCAACTTTATCCACTCGTGTAATTTCTCATTATTATGCATAAAGACCAAAGGAGTATCACGAGTCGCCGAGGGCTCACTTGAATACAATGTATCCTCCCCATCCACATGACTAGTGCCGTCTTCATCACAGTATTCAGGACATACATACGATAATCCATCATGCTTGTCAACTTGCACTCTCAATGCATTACTCTTCCCACACCTTTTTTTCACTTCATCCCTCACGGGAGTATTATAATGGTCTTGATCTTTTACAAATCTACGTGCACCCATAACTTTTTCGCTGTACTTAGCGCAAGATTCGTTTGAGCTTTTTTGGCTCATTACATCGCTCTTGACAGTATTTGACATACTGTCAGACTCTACTTGGTGTCTTTCTATAGCCTTTACATTCTCAGAGTTGGAGTTGGAGTACAATCTAAACTCTGGAACACTTGAGATAGAACATCGTAAGTCGGTGTAAGAAGAAAATGAACCACAAATCGGAATGCGTTCAGCGAAACTGTAAACATGACTCATATTGCTACTGCTATCCCGTGCATCGCTGCCACCTCCGCCAGTATGACTTTCACTAGATTGCCTGACATCAAACAAAATATCTGATTTCTTACAGTACAACGCATGCGAATGTTCAATACCCTTTTTGCTGCGAGTTCTGTCATATAACTTCACTTTTGAGTTCATTTACTTCAGATTGTGTACAAACACGAAAAAAAAATGTCAATCAGAAATTTATAGGTTTATTATCCTATATTCATTCGAAAATCACACAATTCAATATTAATGATTAAAATGTCTCTCAGCAGTACCTTTTATGACGTAAAAAAAAAAAAGGCAAGTGCGTTTCTAATAAGACTTTTATCAGTTTAATGATAATATAAATTCTAAAAAAAAGAACTTATCAAGCACCTCCAAATCCCATATTATTCATTCTTATTATACTAAACACGTTTATCACCTAAAAACGAAAACTAAATATAAACTTCTGTACAGACACGTTCAAAATCGTGACAACGGCGTAAAAATATGAAGTATAGTCTGCTTTGTTTTAAGCAATGCTATGTGTTTTTTTTAAGTATTTTTTTTAATAAGGTGGAGAAATGTGTGCAGTAGTTAATAAGATATATATATATATATATGAAATTATGTGGAAGAGTAGAAAATATTGGAAGAATACGCAAAAATTCTTTTCGAAGAAAAAAGGAAGGAAGAAAGATAAAAAATAACAAAATCAGTAATTGTGTTTGTATGATGTTACTTACCGCAAAAATTAACTGCGAGACAGGGAGGATTTCGATTCAACAATACACTTTTTCCTCTCTAAAGCTGTAAGAAACTTGAAAGAAAAGTCTACTGTTGATCCTGTAGGAAAACGCTGCGGACAATATTAATAAATATAGCAAAGAATCCAGTGAATTATGAAAAGGGAAAAAATCCTACGATACCTGCGATTGGGTACCTATAAGATGTGTACAAATATGTGACGACGCTGCTAAACTAGTTATAGAATCAACAATTCGAATCGAAGCTTTAAAGATATATGGAGTAGGTTAAGAAAATAACACGTTCTTTAAACCTTCCTTCCTAAGTCACCAGTTTCTTAACTGGGTCTTCGTATTCCTTTTCAATGAAACAAATTATTGTTTGAAGAAAACTCTCTTGTTAGATTGACTTTGAAATCGTATTGATTGACTTGCCTCGCACGATTGGATATCAGATATATATATTAATGTTTTTATTTGCATAACTATTGAATTGGGAAAGCAAATATGTATAATAAAGAAGATATGAGGCAAGTAAAAAAAAAAAAAAGATACTCCTATTTTGCTTTTAATCTTGTACTATGAATGTGTCCTTTGTATTTCTTAGCCTACCTACCACTATATTCCCTTGTGTATAAAATAAAGAGAATGAAAAATGTGTAGCTAGGGATAATACCTTTCTTGATTAAAAGGCTTTTGAAGAAGTGTTGAGAAAAATATTTAAAAAATAATGAAGAGAAAGGAAAAAAACAATAGGATCGTTGAAAAATAGAGCTTTCGACTCTAGATTAAAATTATGGGAATATATATATATATATATATATATAGATAATGTAGAATAAACCTCATGAATGAATTTTACCGGTCTATCAATATCTCATCCTCGAACCACTAACTCCAAGTGATAAAGAACATAAAGCTAAGAAATATATCTAAAGCGCATCTTTAGTCAACAAATAATGAAAAATGGAAATAATAATGATAAACGCAAGAGATACCATTTTCAAACTGAGAATCTACTGAACGAAGTACCACTAAAAGAAAGAGGTCACTCTCGCTAGCATCCTCTACACCTCTTGAGGTCAATGCTATTCGGAATTATCATCCAAAGCATAAACTTCATAGTCATGCGACAGTATCCATAGAACTTTCACAGCACTGAGTAAATAAATGTATCAAAAATATCATTCGTTCAACTTCTTTTTTCATTCTTTATGGACTGGGAAATGTCATACTCTTGCCTCATCCAATCCCATGAATTCGAATAAGAGTTATTCACCATCATCCCAAGAGCAGCCGAAGCACACATAAACAAAAGACCATAACGATAAATGAATTCTTTCGGAATAAAATTGGCCATGATTAATAGTTTAGTATTTCGGAAAAAAAAGTTATGTCGTGTTGCTAGGCTAAAAAAAATGTTGGAAAATAAAAGTCTTTGAATTTTTAAAATTAAAAATGTGAAGGATAAACCTACTCCATGATTACGTACAAATATATTAAGAAATCCTACCGTTGACTGACAAACGCATTTGGCACCCAACAAACTTGCATTTTCTGTAGTTGTTTCCCTCAAAAAAAAACCGATATGAAAACAATAAAAAAGGATAAAAGCTAAAGATAACAATAAGTATTCGTAACTAAATGAAAAATACCGCTGAACTGTCCTCAATGTCTCAACGCTTCACCAACACATTCAATTATTATGACTCAGCAGTCGGCCGGCCTCAATATAATTCGAGTGCATCTTCCTCTCGTTAGCACCTCCCTCAAACGGGTATTGTCGGACAAATATAAGTTCTCCTTTTTCAATGGCCCGCAGTGCTCGCAGAGCAAAGAACCCCCCTCCATTATGTAAATCCCTGTCCTTAGGTTCACTCTCCCGGTTGACGACCTTTTCAGTACCCGATGAAGTGTATAACTTTGATATCACGGTCGGTTCCTCTCCGCGCTCGCGGTATGGGATTTGTAATTCGTGATGCAAATCACACGTTTGGGAATCCTTGGCAGAAAAGTAATGCACCACGGTATTGTGATCACCATCCTCACGCTGTACTGCCGTGTCAATGAGTGGCATGAGGGTTGGCACGAACATTTTCTCTACCTCGGCCTTAAAAAAGTTTGTGCCAGGTATGTAGGCTTTGATAGCCTCGACCTCAATCGGTTGAGTGCGCATGCGAATACAGGCAAAGGAAATAAATAGGTTCTCTAGAAAAACCTCAGGATCCTCGCACGCTTCGGTGGCTATCTCGGAAAGGTAGTGATCAATCACGCCATTGGCCTCCTCCCGCTCACGCGAAATTCCGTTAGCCACGCCATCCCGCCCACGTGTGTCCTCTAGCAAATATTTAATATACGGCGTCAAAGGGGAGTCTTCTAAGGAGATAATGCGAGTCATCCAGCCGGCCATTGCAAGCTCGTACGTAGAGGTGCTTTGCAGGTAGGGAAGCCTGTCATTGTAATTCATCCAGTCGAAATGTATTGGGAAGGCACAAGATACGGTATTTTGTATCTCTTTGGCTATCGTCAGAAAATTAAAACATGCTGAGTGCGGACATGTGATGATAGCTTGTCCTGGATAAATAGTCTTGGAGGCGCGCAGGCATCTTGCAAAGTAAAGATCCTTTGAAATTTTGATATTGCCATATGCACGGACCTGATGACTCCGACACCAATTCTGAAACTCAGACATGCTTTCTTTTTTGTAGTTCCATACCCCTTTCTCCATCGTCATTTTGGGATACTTAGTGGTATCACGGTTAATTGGTAATGGAGTAACGCTGTTCGCGCAAACAACCCTTGTAATTCGCATCATCCATCGACAGTGCCTCCTTCCCTTAGCTTTGATTTTCTGTGCTATAAAGTGAGGATAGAACAGGTGAACTTTTACCAAGGTATCGAGAACTTCATCGAATTACCTTTTCCACAAGAAACTCCTTTTCCTGTCAACGTCCTTTAATGAAGAGTCACTATAAACCCTAACAGAAATATATGAGTATGTATACATTTATTAAAGAAGTAAAAAGTGATTAAAAAGTTCAACCAGCCTACAATGAGAAATATATAGATATTAATAACAGCCCATCCAGTATTTGCTAATAAGATGGTGCTTCTGAATCGGCCTCAACATAATTCAAATTTGTTAGCTTAGGAATTGACCCTACAAAAATCAAACTGGTGACATATATTACATTTTTTTGAAATCTGTAAGTACATTATCTAATAAACTAATGAATATAATTAGATATATTCAACACTACAGGAATGTGTATAACACGGATTGTAATTTTTTTAATATTGGATCGTTCTATCTCGTTCGGGTGGATACACTTTTGAAGGGAACGAAACAATAACGTGATCAGAAAAGTATTCCTCAATCTTGTCTGAAATGAATAATGGCTACAAAACATTCTTATTCTTAGGTTTAACTTGGCATGACTTTCGTAACCGAAGGTACAACTTCGCCGCTCAGGGCTGTCTCCATGGCATCGATATATGACCGTAACATTCGCAACTCGATGCAGGTGCGTTCTAGTTCCTGTGGAACTGCCGGCGTTCGGAGATAGGAAGGACCTTGATCACTGCTGTTTTCTCTTGTTGCGTCATTTGTCCCCGAAACTCCTGAAACCTCCCCCATGGATACCGATGCCGGACGCGCCTTCCGCTCTGCTACGCCGGAGACACTCTTCCAAGACACGCTGTCAGTACGCAATGGATTCACAGAAAGGGTTTGCGATTCATCATCCATACCAACGGAAGTATTATTCGTCGTATTGGGATCAATAGAGGTAATCTTTGAGGGCTTTAAATTGTTCGGTCTCTTGGCAGAACGTTCAATCATTTTGAAGCCACTGCGTGCTTGCTTAGCTGTTGTCTCAGTAGTCACAAGCGTCCTTAAATGATGGATTTCACCGCGAAGTGAGTGAATTTCTCGTATCAAGGACATATTCTCGACCATCATAGCAGAGACTTCCTTCTTATGTCGATCCTCCTCGAGTTTCAACTTACGCTGTAAGGCGTTCACAGAAGTTGAGAGATGCTCAAGGTGGCTTTGAAACTCGCTACGTATGTTTGGATCCACCGAAGCGATCCGATTGCCACCACGAGTCACCACGTGCGTCTGATAGATATTTTCGATTGTCTCCTGAAGGAGACAAACATCCTGCAATGCTGGTACGACGTCGCCGACATCGCGCTTGAAACGCGTTTTATATGTTTCAAAGTCTTTAATGTTGTTATGCATGTGCTTAATATGTCTTTGCTGCTCTGTGATGTCACTCTTCAGTTCATCAATGTTGCCTTGTAACGTTCGATTGCACTCATGCAGTTCCTCCAGCTCACGATTCCGCAGTTTGATGCGCTGGTTACACTGAAGCATTTCATGCTGCTTCGGCTCCATTAGAGCCTTTAGCTGTCGAATACGATAATCTAGAACAAATCGGTACTTCTCCAGCTCTTGATTCTCCCTCTTGAGTACATAGATATTTTTTTCCTTCTCCCCGATAACAACATCTCGCTCGTCAATGTCCTGATGAAGCTGGTTTATACTATGCCGTAGGTCGTCCAGCTGTGCTGTGAAATTAATCTTTGCGGCATCAAGCAGCGCAACCTCACCTGTGCGAACCTCCACTTCCTTTGCAATGAGCACCGCATTCTTGCGCATAATAGCCCCTTCACCTTTCATATGAAGGAAGCGCTCTCGCAGTGTGTTGAGTTCCTGGTTGTGTCGATCGCTTACTGTCTGTGCTTCAGTATCGATATCAAACTCAAGCTGGTGTATAGCCTCGTCGTTAATCTGGCAACTGTGCTCAACATCAATCCTCAGTGCCTCTAGAGCCTCCCGTTTTTGAGATAGAATCTCTTCATACCGCTCTTGGGCCTCGCGCTGTTCCTGGGCAACAGTATCCTCAAGCTCTTTCAGCCCGATAACGTGGTCCCCCTGCTCCGTTTCCAACGTGTGCTGAAGATTGCTGCAGAGCCTCTCCAATTCTTGAACTTTTTCCTGATGAGAGTACACCACCGATTCGAGTTTTTGCGCGGCTTCTGACGTCTTTTCTGACTTGATAGATACAAATGTGAGTTCTTGTTCACGCATGTTATTCAGCAATGAGGCAAGTTCCACGGCCAGGGTTGACGCCTCATTTTTGTACTCTTCAGTGCGCTCGCGAATGCGGGTTCCTTGCTCGTGGGCGTGTCGCCTTTCCTCACTATTGAGCTCTGTCTTCAGTTTTTCGATCTGTTGATGAAGGCTTTCGATTTCTAACTTTGTATCCTCCATATACTGTTGGGTGACAAGCACTTCGTCTGCGATACCCCCCGTGGTCAAGGTCGAGTCAAAAGTCACCGCCCTTCCAGCCGCAGTCCCCTCCTCACGAATATCCCATACAAATATACTACCGTCCTCACTGGCGGTGAATAAGGTACCTTCGTCTAGTGTCAGCGCCATTCGCGTGATGCGGGCGCTGTGGGCCGTTAAAGGGGATTCCTGGATTCCAGCCTCAAGAGGAAACGACATTACCTTTAAGGATCCATCCTCGCCCCCACCAAAGAGTATGCGCCTATGTGGGGCCACGCGGATGGCCGTGAGGGCCGTGTCTATGAACTCGTAGTCTTCTGTGGCCGCATTAGCGTTGGTACCCATCCCACTCGGGGAAGCAGATGGGAGGCTCGCTATTGAAGAACGCTCGATCTCACGTAGCGTCACTTTCCACTGGACGCCTAACGCGGCGGATGACATCGGGGAAGCAACAGCCCATACACTTTTATCATCGGCATCCACAGCAGAATACTGAAAACGTTTGTCCGAATGCTCAACCTCCTTCCGCATCTCGAATGTATTCCAGTCGATCATCATACCGTCCATGGAGCAGGTAATGAGCCGGTTATCAGTAGGGTAGGATGATGTTGCACTCCACTTCATATCTTTAATACGCTGTAAATGCCCACGCAGCTGCCCGCACGGCTCACAGGTAGTTGAAATGAAGACATCCACAAGGTTGTTATGTGCCACCGCAAAGTATTGACCACCATGTGAGAATACCACATTTGAGGCATACCGGAAGTTAATCACCTTTCGCTCCAGAAGCGTATTCCAAAGCACGCTCATCACACAAACCTTGTCAGGAAAGCAGATCACCGCCATAAGTCCACTTGGATGAATGGACACCGCACCGGGCTCCTGAGAGTAGTATTGAATCATTTCAAGCTTACTTGTGTTGATGTTCCATAGGCGAACGCTGTGATCGCTGCTGCTAGTAATAAGAAATGGCTTTCGAGCACAGCAATCCATACCATTGATAGCACCAGTGTGGAAAGGCTGACAAATCGCTTCGAAGAGATGTGAAGAAGTACTGACATTTGTTTTAATGGCACCACCAAGGTCAGGATATGTTTCAAAGCTTGAACTTACCTTTGGAATTGCTGATTGTGAAGTGCTTAGCCCCTCTTGTGAGGGCATCTTGCTCCAGTCTAAGCGGAAGTCAGTCCCATATACTTTTCCAACACGAGTTAGGACGGCCAGGCGGGTCCCAGACTGGTTCAACGCCAAGGCAGCAACAGCACAACGATCTATTGCATAAGAAGATACAGCATCTCCTGTCCCAGGTCTACTGCATACTGGTAAAGACGGTACGAAAGGCCTTGTCGTTACAACAAGTGTGCTGTTTGTATTGGCGAGTTTTGCCGTGTCCGATCCCACCTTATCAGCCCCTTTATCTCCAACATAGTATGTTGTTTCAGCCATACTCGTCCCACTTCCACCTCCAGATGAATGATAAGGACTGGAGCGTTGTGCTTTGGATTGTAAAGCAGGCTTAGCGATGGGCGGCAGTGCCCCTGTAGTATTCTCAGTGACTAAGCTAAAATGTGCAGCAGTCAAGGGTGTATCAGCATTGTGGACGAATTTGTCGTCAACACAGGTTTGAACAGAATTGCTGCACGAGTTTAAATATGAAGTTTTAGTACCGGCGCGGTCGCCAATGCTGTCACTGATTTGATAGTCAATCCTGGATGAACTCTGCTTCAGGTAACCATCCTTTTGAAATCCGAGATCACCTTTTTCAGTGTTAGTGGTCATGGCAAGCTCAGAAGGCTCTCTTGACGGGATACATGCCATGCTATAGAAAGAATAAGAAGGAGAGGATGAGTATCCGAAGGTGATCAATCCATCACCCTCCGCATCCTCCTGGCGGTTGCGATGAAATGTACACAACATACCTTGATTATTTCCGGTAACAAAACCAGACTGAGTGGGACAAATCGCAGTGATTATTGGTGAATGAATACTACTGCGCCCGTAAGCGGAAGTGGCATCAGATGCAACAGAAACATTAGGTACATGGATTTCCTCAACGTAGTGTCCGCGCTCGATCAGCACCAACTCACCCTGGTTCGTTGATGCAACCAGACGCTCCTTGTCTACCCAACAGTGAGTCACAAAGATCTTTTCAGACTCGGAAGGAACCCCAGAACTAGGCTGGAGTTGCAGAAATCCATCGGTGTAGCGATAAAGGCAAATGAAATTCATGCCAGACACAGCAATTGTAACAGCGTCATTAGGGCAGATCGAAACATGTGTTACCAAAGGAGGGGAAGGAGAAGAAGATTTTGACGCTGGGCCACCAGATTTGGAATCGCCAGTCAATCCTAGCCCTCCTTTACCTTTGTGTTTATGAGTCATTTTTGTGGAATTGGCCATAAAACTGAGTGAGATTGTCGCCAGAGGCTTCGAGCGCTCCCAATTCCAATAGTACAGGTTCCAACTAGGTCCGCCGCCTTGTGTCACAAGGTGCCTGCCATCAGTACTGAATGCCATTGCAATAAAACGATCACTGCCAAGTTCACTAGGCGAGATACTGAGCAACTTCCGCCGCTTACGCGTCATCGTGTCAATCACTTGCACTTGCGGATTCTCACCGCCTTCAGCAATGGCGACAAACTTTTTGTTTTCACTAATCGCAAGAGATGTGATGCCAAGCACATTGCAATAAGATGCATCTATAAAACGTTGATTGTTTGTGGAAAGTTGGTGGAGGGCGACTGTCTTGCCCACAGGATACATCAGCGTCCCTTCATCAACCCAGCATAATGCGTCATGAGGGTCACTGCGGGCACCAAAGGCATGTCGTTTAACTAGCATCCATCCTTCCTTCTCCATACCAAGATGTGAACCCTTCGGTTCTCTTTCTATATGTCCAACTACGTTACTTACGTGATTGATGGGTCCTCAATAAATTGGTCTTGAAGTGGATAGATCTATTAAAATGCCACAAGATATAAACAGAACGCTTCACACCACTTCTTAAAAAAAAATCCTTTAGATATTAAAAGGAGAAAGGATAGCATAAACATAAATTCTTGCCGTATTAAGACTATCAAATGTAAATTTTCACGAACCAAGATTTCTAGAAAAAAATACAAATCATACACCATCCTTCGAATGTAACCTCAAAAAAAAAATAAAGAATAATAAGATCTTTGAAACTTTATTAGGCGCAACATCTCCGTTCTTTAAGAGTCTAATAAAAGGGTCAATATAGTGATAAAAAAGTTAAATAAACAAATTCCACTATACACACGCCCAAGATTAGCCGCTCAAGAAAGGGACAGAAGTAAGATAAAGAAGAAATAATGTCTAATTGTCTGGATATTATTATCTCTCTTAACACTAGACGAATAGAAACTGAACAAATAAGGGTGAAAAAGTAAGGAGAATTGGTATAAATGACAAAGCAGCTTTTGGATTGATTCAAATAGGCTATACTCTACATTGTATACTTGTCCCCTATAAAATAGAAAACTCCACGAGCAATCTCATCTGGTAGCTGTCTTATGCAAAGATGACATGGAATTTCATTTATTTCTTTATTCCGAACTTCTTCATTCTGCAAATACTCGGGTACAGACATCCCGGTGCGTTCAAGGTCTTCGATAACATTTTTAATAGTGTGTAGTGCGTGGTCGTTCATAGGATGGTCCCGACCCGTGTCCATATACTCACCACGAATGAAGTCGTCTAAAAGTATAGCGTTCGCGTTGCAGTTTCTAACACTTAAGGGTCGGTTTTCAATAATAAGTGTATCCTCTAGAGAGCGCTTGAGCCACATGATGTTCTTCTCGTAATAGTGATCCCTCGTGAACCAGTCGTTGTTTCGAATTATGTAGTGTGAAATTCGAACGCCAGAAGGATCAATGACACCAAGGACCTGTCTCATGTAACGATCGCTACACGCTGACCAGAGAACCACCTCCGCGTCTATTGTAGTCAGGTAGTCTAGGAGTTCTGCCAAGTAAGGCCGAGGTATGAGTCCCGCCTTCAAGCGGAAGGCCTTATCACCGTAGGACAAAATTGTCTCGTCCACATCCAATACAATGGTCAGTCGACTATGATATGCTTTTTTCTTCGGCCCTAATAACCCACCCTCGAGTGTTTGCATTTGCTGCATATGCCATAGCTTTGCCGTGGCACCCAGCATGACGATAATGACGGTGAAAAAGTAATACCGGACACCGCGATCCGCCATCATGCGCTTCCAGTACTCCTTTAGACGCTTGGCACCATAAAAACGGTCATTAGTGTATGTATCCCAGGCATTTTCTTTATTTGCATACAGGTGGATCCCCAAGTTAGGACGTGTAGTGGATGCCATAGCTCCAGCAGCAGCCTCACCGTAACTGGATTTTCCTGCATAATTTCCAGGAGAAGGGTGATAGTACTGACTGCGCTTAAAAAGATCATTAGCTACACTACCAGAAGGTATTCCTTTGATTGGAGCGCCTTTACCACTAGAGCCAAGGCCAAACAGAGGCCATCGCACTGATAAATTAAAGACTTTTCCTCTTCGATACATGTATTAAAGTAAACTGAAAAAAATGTCCCTGCACGGATAGTATTCTTTAGTTTCAATACTTTAAACTACTAAAAAACTAGCCAATCAAAATTATTGCGTAAAATGCAGAAATTAAAACTCATTTTTTTTATCGGACTAAATACGATAAAGGAGAGGATGAAAAATGAAGTTTGAAATACCGTTTGATTCATTTAACTAACATAAAGTGAGTGAATGGAATCATCGACTTTCTATCACTTCTCTCCTCAAGCAAGGAAAAGATCATAGCCGGCATAAACCATACATCCTGTCATTCACACCTAGAAAAAGGATTAAACAAAAATAGAATGTAGTGTATTCACCTCGTGTCAGAACTAATAATGGCGCTTTTTTACCTGATATATTGTCATACATTTTTATCACCCATTGCCAATGCTAGTGTTCAGTGTTGTCATAGCCTGGTTAATCCTCTCACTCAGCAAGTCCAAGTCCAGTGTACCATCCTCTGATGTACACCCACTGAAACCCAAAATGCGATCCACACAAATGTCGTTTTTGAATAACAATAAACATGGAAGCGTCGTGATTCGCAATCGATCAACTAAAAATGGAGCCCGCTCGGCGTCGATCTTCACAAAGCGTATTGAAAGTGTCATTTGAGCAAGCTCCGACAAACGTCGATCCATTACTTTACAAGTCTCAAAATCCTTGTGGTAGAAATTAATACAACACTGATCGCTACCACCCTTTTCGCGCACCACAACGTTAAAAAAATCATCCTGGTCGATCTCGCGATACTGTCCGTGTTGTTTGCTGCGCCAAATAGCTTCTTGATCACATAAAAGCTTCATCTTCTCCATTCGCGTGCGACGCAGTTCAATCAACTCCAAATCCTCGTCGTTGTCCTCAGGATCGTTGCCACGTTCAGTGCGCTCCGCTTCTTTCTCTGACTTGGGATCATAAACCTGAAGAGTGCTTTTACCATTTAGTCCCCCCTGAGTAGCGGCAGAGCGGTGAGTTGGGATAGCATCATCCAAATCTCGAGATTGTTGATACTCCTTACTTGCCATGTACTCAATAGCAGAGGTGAGATTTTGGTTGGCTTTCATATTAGAAGCCTCAGTTATAAGGCCGCTCTTACCTGAACTAAGCATTTTAAACTCACCTTTTCTGATTTGTGAAAAAAAATATTAATAGGTAGCTAATTATTATGCACTACAGAAAACAGTAATAGATGTGTTTATTTATTCACACACGTAGAATTTACTGGACTACTTTATAACTGTTAGGAGGAAAAAGAAACTACCCCTGAAAACATAAGCGGAAGTAAAGCTTCGAGCACATGACAAATCCATTGTACACCGAACTTATCGATCTAGATCATACTTGTGCAAGCCTTTATTACAGTATTTTCTTTTCTCGAATAAGTTATTTTCCTCCTTGGGGAAAAATTGACTCCACATACGCAAACTGACAAATCCATTGAATATTCATTTATCATGAGAATATTTTGTAAATAATGACAAATAACCCATTAGACTATATAAGCCTTGCTGTGTCCACCTATTGGGACCACACTATTGTTGCACACCATCCCTGGACCAATATAACTGCCCATCATCTACATCATTTTGCTGATCTAGTTGTCGTTGGCGCTCCTTGGAAGGTAGCTTGTGATTCATGAAAACTAGCTGCATTTCCTCTACTGTCATATCATTGAACCATCCATGAGCATTTAAATATTTTCTGGCCATTTCACGGTGTGATAAGTTCCTCATATACGCACTTTTTGGATGAGAAGCAAACCACAAGGCGTTAAACAAATTCGGATCTTTTAGACCTTCCTCGATCTGCTTATCGGATAAAGCTGACATGCTTGGGTGGTGTAAGCGCTCGATTAAAGGCGCCTCGGACAATTCTTTCTCCTTGAAATTTTCATATTGCTCCATGTGAATAGCACGATACTTCTCACAGTCTGCCTTGTACTGCTTCTCTGATAATCCTTTGATTGGAGAACTGTATGCGGTATCAACACCTATAATACAAATACCCATACGTCGAGCCTGCCCAACGATGCGCCGCACACGTACCTCAATAGGTGGATATTCAACCTTACCCCAATTTATTTGTTTCATTTTCGCAATTTCGTAGCACATTTCAAGTGTAAGAAGAGCGCAGTAGTGCCCTTGAAGTGTTACAGAACCAGTTTCTCCACGCTTTTTGCGAATGGCTCTCAGTAAAAACCACGCTGTTGGCGGTGGCTCGATACGATACTGATAAGATTTATCAAAGTAGACCTGAATACGAACAATAAGATCAATATCGTCTTTGAAATAAATCTTTGTGCGGTCATTGAAAGTCTTCACAAAGTCCATAGCTTTAAGTCCAAGTTTGGAAAACTCCTGGCCCACCGGTGGCCCTGTGACAGCCTTCCCTGCTTTGATGAAAAAGCGCCAGTTGTGCAACACGGACTTGCATGGAAAGTCAGGGACAGAAAAAATATCTTTGGCCCTGGCAAGGACTGCTGGTTCTAGGTAACGATTGGAACCGGGTTCAACATTGACATTCTTCGGTCTAGCCTTGAGAAACAGATGACTACTGTGTCGGAGCATTCAATATCGCACCCTAAAGGGTAAGAGAAAGGCCTGGTAAAAAGGACTGAAAATGGATAAAACAGTGGCTCCGTATGACACTTGATTCCTCCTATCTTATTCCTTCTCTTTTCTTCTCAACCTAAGTGCTAGTAATCGAAATCAGGTATAGAGTATTGCGCGTCTCCCATGGGATTGTGCACACTCTCTTAAAGCTTCAGAATTTAGTAACAAGTTGAACATGAAAACATTAAAAGAAAAAATGGAAAAGCAAATGATGTAACCTGAGCTATAACACAGAAGGAGAAAAAAATAGACGAAACAAGCTAATGATTCAATTTCCAGGGCTAAACAGTACAGGCGCAGAACATTAAGATATCCACTCCAATATGTCTTGTTTTGATATTCAACTTGCACGTGAGCCAAAACTCTCCAAGCTGTATATAGAACACAAACATACATGCAGGTGAAAAGTATACTATGTATAATTCCTAACAACAACACTGTTCATCCTTCTTATGTCGCCCAAAACATCGCATGCAGACCACTTCATGAATCATAGCTTCACGAGTTAGCTTCATTGCGTGTAGATATGTCCATCGTGTTTCAGACTGAATATGTTCTAACTCATGTGGACGTATCAACTGGCATAACTTTGCAAGTACAGAAAATCCAATTTCATCAAAGTCGGTAGTAGTATTAACGATATCTACCAAATCACCAGCAACAAGCAGCCACTGTCGTTGTTTTTCCCACACCGTATCAGACTCCAAAAATCCTAAGATTACAGAAGGCTCCATGCCTTTATTCCTACTAAAAGATTTGGCCACCAAACAAAGATCGCTAATTATGTACCGTACAAGAAGAATTGCGGTGTGTACACTTTCCATCTCATCATCTAGCACCACCACGCGCGGCTCTACACCACAATGCATGCGATTCTGTAAGTCACAACTGCGCCAGGGCAATAGATCCTCTTGTGTAGATCGCAGTACGCTTACAGCGGAGTTGAAAAATCCAAGAATCCACGTGGGGTCATCTCTTGAAAAATACTCTTTGTTTAGTTGATCCGATTTCTGCTTATCCGAGCCCCCGCTTTCTGTTTTTTCATCACTGTCTAGGTAACACAGAATTGACTTCACGGCTTTCGACAATTTAAACAAAATCAGCCATCCGGATAAAATAGTTCGAGTAGGAGAGATATTAGACAACAAATCCCCATCGTGTCGCCCCCTTTCTCTCTGGTTAGCTTCGTGCACGAAGTTAGACTGACACAACCCACACTGATGACACACACACGCAAGATTGGTATATTCCAGATATGTTCCACAACGACTACAATGCTTAGTAGGTCCAGAAACTGGTGGAAAACACAACGCCGTTACAGTCCTCATTCTGCTGAGCTCACAGCAATAACCCAGGGGATTAGAGACATCACTCTCGCCCTTAGGAATAAAAGAAGATGCTGGTGATAGCGATGAGTGTGGGTGTGGGTGTAGGTGTGGCACTATTGCTGAACTTTGAAGACATATTTGGAACATATTTACTGAGTCATGCGAAATATGACATGCAGAACAAACATAAAACTTAGATTCCTTAGTCTTTGATTTCAGACTCTCATCGCCCATGGTGTCTCTGTCAAGCCCCTTGGAAAGAGCTAAAGTGTTAGCATCCCACTCCACATTAACATGGAAGCACTTTGATTGAAGGCACACCCATAATTTTGCAGTGAATCCAGGCAAGCAAGCGTGACAATGTTTACATACAAACTGATTATAAAAAGCAGTACACATCGGAATTGTATGACTACATCCACAGTAGCTGCATGTTATTTGGTCAGCTGCAGTGGGTGCCCTGGTTTTCCTTTCTACAGGAAGTTGGCATTCATCCTTGTCACATGACCTATGGTTAGGATCAAGAACAAATACCCCGCGCATCCACCCCATGAAACCAGAATGAATGGTTTTGCGTACCTCAGAGGGAAAAGTAAGCGCGGAACCACAACCGTGGCAAAATTTAGCCACTAACGGATTTATCACCCGACATGAATGGCACCGCACAGTGTCCCAAGGCACCATGATGAAGGGTGAAGGCGCTAATGTAAGACTCGTGTTATCACCGTTTGTTGACAAAGAAGATAAATGCATCGCACAATCCGGCACCAATGCCGGCACCGGACGACCTTCTGTGCAACGTTCACAGTGCACAAGCAACCATGGGTTGAGATGATGACATGCAAGACAGTACCAAAACGCTTTTTTCTTATCATTTGGTATTACAGGGGAAAGAGTTCCGCAAGTACTACACCATGGACGCAGTAGCCCCTGCGGATTAATACGTCCGCAGGTAGGACACATGTAGGATGTCTCTGTCAATGTCTTCTGAAGTGCTGAGTTTTGGCTGTTGCAGAAGGCACAATAAAATATGTGCTTCGCGTCATTTGTGTAATTGCAGTCCTGGCAGGTCCACGTGCGTAGTGGAAAAACTGCTTTAAAAGCGTTGGAATGTAGAAAGACATCAGACGACCGCCCATCCCCTATCATTGCGAAGGGACCATTGCTACTCTCAGAATCTGCTGTCTCCTTACTGGTCATTATGACAGAATCCACTCCAAAATCGGCTTCACAAACGTTACATGCAGTGTCCCTTGTGGAAGCGAAGCCACCACAACGCGCACATTGCACCACAGCTGTGTCTAGTGACTTGCAGAGTTTGCACATCGTGCTGTAACGACTGTTCCACGTTCGGCACAAAAAGCACTGCCACGGCCGCTGCTGATGCTGAAGCCTAACACGATATTCTGCGGAGGTTGTGCACATGTCCTTCAACCGAGTGAAGCGTGCTTCTTCAAATTTACTCATTCCTTTGTAGTAGAAATTCAAGAAATCTGTCTGTGAAAATGTAATGTCGCTTATAGCTAGGAATTCGATCAACTCCTTGAGGATCTTTGGCGAAAGAGAATTAAGCGTCGCCTGTATGTAGCTATCAGACAGATAACTTTGAGCGGACGAGGACGACATAGGTAAAATATCACGTTCATGTGACAGCAACAAGTCTGACTCATCTACCGGATCTAAAGCCTTTGGAGTGATCAAACTACACAAAACTACAAGGACACCTTTTCTGTAGCCTTCTCGCAGGAACCAAGTCAGGCTAATACAAGTAATGGGAAGATGCGGAAAAACGCGGAGAATTTCAACAAGTGCTCGCAAAAAATCTTGTTCCACCGTCTCGAATAGCGCTATATCAGATGCTGTTGCTTGCCGAACTTCTAAAACACTCTCAATCAATGTATCGATGCTTCGGGACAATAAACCAACTCGTGCACCATATCGGGTTAGGTATTCCTTAATAAAACAGATCCCTATATGGGCACACCGAAGAGGTGTTGCAGTAACAGCTGAAGACGTGCCCTTTAAAATACCCTTGAGAAGTGCGTGAAGGCACACGGGTCCTGGAAGGAGTTGCCCTTCTGATAAACTAAGAAGCTGCTCATAGCGCTGCATTAACATATTGACCATATCCATTTCCCTTTGCTGTTCATTATCTGGTACGGAAACAATCCCACGACTGACGCCGGTAATCGCCTCCAGAATCATATCCTGAATAAACCGCGGCACCCCAGATGGGTACTGGCCATGAGTATCACGCAAAAGCTGCTGGAAGGCATCCAAAGCAGTGTCGTAGGCTCCTTCCTGCACCAATGCCTTACCTGCTTCCCAGCATCCACCAATCAAAGAACCATAGTTCTTGTAAAGAGCACAGATAGATGCGGTGTCGCCAAGACCTAACAACACCTTTGTACTGAGCCTTAGACCTTCCTTCAAGCGGCTTATCATTCCAGCCCGAGCTTTGGGTGTTATCTTAGATAATATAAAGTCCATTCCATTTACAGAAGTAATGCACTGGCATCTTTTAGAAGATAAAAGAGATGCATTTGCATTGTTCGATGTGGCTTCAAGCACAACGAGATGTTTAAGGCATTCCTCCTGAAGATACACAATGCGCTGCTGTAGTTTATGTACCCTCGATTTTAAAGGTTTTGGCTTTACCCCCTTCTCCCCGATACGATCACCCTTATTCACAACACTTAGACTCGCTGTTGTGACAACATTGATATCCTCAAATTCTCGCACAGCGTCCCACATATCGCTCGCCTTTTCGCTAGTATGACCAAGATTGATTAAAGTGAATGCATCAAACAACACTAATTCACGCCACAGCAACGGTGAGGTTATCTTCCCAGAAAGAATATCCTGTCTAACTGCAGCAGCATGGTCTTTTAAATGTCTCAATTTCTTACTCTTTATGGAAACATTACTAGTGTTAGGAGTATGCAAAGTGGTATCTCTTTGCTCCCTCTCTGTGACCTCAAATGTGATTTTGCTTTCCTTATCGACCGTGTGACAGTGATACCCAGTTACCAGATCGTGCAATTCAATGAGAGGCTTTAACAACTGATGCTTACTAAACGCACTCAGAATACGACGGAATGAAAGAAAAACACCAACAGAGTAATACTCAGCATTCTTTCTTAGCTTTAGTGAGTACTGAGATATTTGAAGATGGGAACTCTGATTTTTCTTCCTTTTATATCGATAGCTTGTGTCAGTCAACACTTCTATCGCCTCCCATCCACTCTTTAAAATCTCCGAGAGGACACACCGCCAGTATACACGCAAAGAAGGACATATGGGAAGGTCAGAAGCAACAAATCGCCTACGCAGAACCTCAAGTACAGCATGAACGCTCGTATCATACTTGAAGGTGTTTACAGCCTCCCTCCAGAAGAGATCCTCCTCGCTATCGATAGGGGACTTCGTAAGAGATTCAGTATCAATAGTTATCGACAATTCAGATGTGCTGTCAGAAAGTGAATTGAAGAGAGAAGCAAAGTCAGTGAATGGGGACGCATGTGGTGTATTCATCGTATCCACGCCTTTCATCGAGGCATGAGGCGTCAAATTTTGGTTTTTGCTCCGAAGCCGAATAATATCGGCGGTGAATAGATCATCCCAAGTCGCGGCACAAACACAATCTGCACACATGTCTAGCCATTTTTGAGGACTCTCATCGTGTGTAATCCAGCTCGAATTAGATTTTAAGTTGTCACGACTATCAAGGTATACAATACGGTTCACAAGCCATAACAGACAGGTGTGCTTAACGTTACCTAAAGAAGCAGCAGGTGGCAACGCATTCAAGGAAGCTTCAAACTCTGTTGATAACCATCGAACAAAGTGTCTTTGTCTGGAAATTTCCTGTGAATGCACTTGCCCGTAAAGTAATGCGAGTAAATTCATGCTTTCTCTCTCTTTGTGCCATGTGATCAACTCAATTACAACACTAGCCTCCTCACGTGTATATGGCCAGTGAGTTTCGCCATGCTCATTGCTGCTACAAGGAAGGTGGTAGATACTTATTTCCCTCATGGAGCAAGCTTCCACGGTAGTCTCTGAAGAGCAAAGCGAGATGGTACTCTCCAAGGCTTTGTTGAGACGATACACGCACTTCATCTTCTGTACATACATCAGTACTTGAAACATAAACTCTTTCTGTAAGGCCAAAATATTCCATCGGTCACGCATTAATGAAACATGATGCGAAGAAAGACTGGTCCCGGAAGATGTCTTAGTCACTGTTGAAATCTCTAAATCGTTTTTTCTCACAAGTGAGTTACTGCATTCGCACACGTTCGCCGTGTTTGTATTTGTCATAGAAAATGACTGAGATGTCGCTATCGCTTCAGATAGTTTCGGTGAGCCGTGCTGTTCGATTAAAGGAGACAACAGTAAAAGCTTCGGGATACGCGCCAACTGATGGAGAGCATTAGGGATATCAACCCATTCACACATCCCGTTGCTCGTTACTTCATTTTGAAAAAACTCAAAAATATCATCCTGAGGAAATAAAAGGAGTGTTCTATGGAATTCATCCTCACGAAGGGCATTGGAAAGCATGCGTACGCGGAAAATCCACGACGACAGAGGTAAATTGTTACATGGACTGGTCTCACTATTGGTGTCCTTTGTTTTCAATTTGTGACGTTTTCTGAGTCCTCGTACCTCATGTTTGCTTGCGCTATTTAGTGGAAATAAGTAAGATGGTCGGCGCACAAATCTAGGTACACATGAAGGAAGTTTTAAGGACTGATTAAGCCCAAGAAAAGGACACCATTGTGTCGGTGACAGCATTCATTCTAGATTTGAAAAAATGAAGTAGAAATGGTAAGCAGTGCTTACTATATGATAGCTATCAGTATAGTATAAGTTCCCTTCAAATCTGAGAAATGAAACCCGTATAACCGAATGGACAATCCAAGTTTCTACAGCCAGACCCGCTGACAGTTAATTTTTTGTCTAAAACATCACTCAAAGACCTTTAGCTTTTGAAATATATACCGCCCCATTGAATCAAATTCTCTTAGAAATGATATAATGCATATCACCCTCCAAAGGTTCTCAGAACCTTTAGATTTATATCCCTTCGACTTTTCCCTGATGACTATATTTCCCTCTCTAAGAAATATAGGCCTATCTAGGTTCTAATTTATTATACAAAAACTTCTGTTTACAACCAAATTTGCAAATCAATTAGATTATGGTGAATTGAAGAAGGCGGGGAGGGGGGGGGCAGTTTGTATGTTTTCCTCAGGCCTCATTGATTGCATACTGAAGTGTGAAAATAAATTTATTTGTACTTATGAAGATTTCATTGATAAAATATGGTGAAAATGCACTTATTTTCGTTATGAAACCCCATACTATGATATAAGATTTTTCAGTAAAATGGAAAAGAATGCTATCAACATCACGCGCAGAAAAATGAAATGACTAGGATCTGACCCGTGATCTAATGGTGGCTAACTATTATAAAATCAAACAGAATGTCCTATGTATCGATGAAGGCTTGCTTCCAAAGAGTCTTTACCACATCCCGTGAACTAACCGCGCGGCTGTCCACAACTTTGATTCGCTCCACGGGTTCAAAGTACGCCCACAGTAGATCCTTCTGCAGTAGATTCAATGTTCGCTCGAGCTGTTCTACCCTTTCGTGACACGTTGGCTCTAAAATTTCGAATGTGGAGGTGGCTGGAATGGTGCCAGATTGATATCTATAATCTTTTGCTTGCGCCCTGGTCTTACATTGATTCACATCCGCCAGGGACTGACAATGTGATTCGTCTCTAAGTGTATTCATTTACCTTTTATTGTGCTTAATTGTGACACAGTTAAAATAGATTGTGCTAAACACACGGTGTCGGTGTTAGTATTACAAATGAATAATACAAAGGCAGCATAAGATCTTGCTGTGGATATAAAAAAAAACGGAGGAAAATATACACATGAGAGGTTACTTGGGCAATATCCCCTAAATTTTTCAATTGAGATAAATTTAAAACAACAGATTGTCTGATAAACAAATATAACGCACTGCAACATCATTAATTGGATTTGTCAGAAAGAATATACTGCAACGCCTCCCCTAGTCGTAGCCCGAAGCTGCATACCTTGGCCACATCCTTCCCCATTGCTTGGGTTAGGGTGACGATATCGCATGCCAATAACGCCGCAGCCGCCTGTATTAAGGGTCTGCTCACGACACTTTGATAAAACAAAGGTAGCTTAGCATCACCGGACCCCGTACAGCTGGCAGCTGCTAGCTCGGGTGAAAGATCCGAACGAACCAAAACGCGGCTCCGTGCGCCCGCCAAAATGAGAGGAAATGGCAATACAATACCATAAATCACTGACAGCGTCTGTACAACGTGTGCCGCGTAGCCCAGAGCAAGGGACTCATTATACATCTCCTGGGCTGAGATCTGGGAAAAAACATTTCCAGAACTGCTCACAGCATCGGTGCTTTGTTGCGTAAATAATGGTAAAGAAACACCATTAATCGTGTCACATAATTTCTTGGTATTTCCGGAATAATTCGCACGCTGCACGCCTAGCTCAACATGATATATTGATGCTAACTCTAAAGCACGGCACTTCCGGTATTGAGCTAGCTTAAAGCGGAGCTCCGTACGCTGATATTCTTCACGCTTGTCCGATGTAACTTTCTGCAAATGTGCCTCATCCAGCTTTACATCCTTATCTTTTAAAAGAGAAAATGCATGCTCGTGTCGGTCAAGAACGCGTTGCTTTTCTTCTACTTGGACCCGAAGTTGTTCAACTGCTAGTATCGACATAGTAAGCTGTTCGTTGAAATGCGAAAGGGATGCCTTTAAGGTAGCTTCCATGCCACATTGAATAGTCTGCACACGGTATAATACCTCCGAAGCATCGATGCCGTCCAACAGCTCCTGTCGCCTTTCTAAAATGACTCGGTGTAAATTTCGCCATGCAAGAGTTGCTATTGATAATGATTTTAAATCGCCAACAGATATACTACCACATGGCGCACCAGATGGCATCCGTCCACGGGAAGACAAATCCCTTTGGATAGAAATCGATTTATTGTGTGATAAAGTGCCAAGCGAACTATCGGAATCAACATCTATACGACACCAAGGCTCCTCAGCCTTCTCAGTACCGAAAAGCACTTTGTCTGGAGACACGTTTGCCTCTGGTGAGAGTAAAAAAACCCCGTCAAAACATTTCACTAAAAATACAGTACAATCTTGGGTATTTTTTATAGACTTGTCTAGTACATGCTGGTCCGCTTCCGCTATAGAATGTGCGACATAACGCAACCGAACAGTATCTAACGGCACTCGATACACACATCGGTCCCTCTCGAAATTTGGATGCCAACATGATGATGTTGCACATGAAGAAAATTCACCAGCGCAGCCGTTATAGCAGACACTATTCTCACATGCCTGAGTGTAAACCCTAATCCCATCGTCTTGACTACAATAGTAAACTTCTAATATAAACTTCGTGTGTGTAGCGTAGTTCAATAACACGTTAGCAGGAATCCATTGCCATGTGGGGTGCTGTGTATTGGCACAAACCTCACTCCGATAACACACTCGTCCATTGTATTGGCTCACTTCACCTGTACCATCGAGGTCTGAAGTTGTAGGCTCACGTAGAATATAATACGAGGACACGCATCTGGGACTATCATAACTCGGAAACTCACTCGGTTGAGAACAAGAAAGGCAACTTGGCATACCTTTCAATAGCAATACCTCTGACCTGCTACCCTCAACTTCATATATGGAAGTAGAACGCTTTTCAACAACACACTGGTCCCCACGAATCAGCTCCGGGGAGGGAGCGATATAGCCTATCTGCTCATGCTCCTGGTTATTTAGAGGTTTGCCTTCAACAGAATTGTTAGATATCGGTGCCATATGAGACGGAACTTTTAAAGGCAAATTTCGTGCAAATATAAAGTTAACATGCTGAAAGCAGCGAAACTCAGCTGGTAGCGATGGCATCGTATGTGACTATTGTTATTGCCACTATTTTCCTCTAGTTATAACAGACATAAAATGATCACTTTGCTTTTAACTGTGTCTAAAGCGCCTTTATTTTTGTAAATGTTGAAAGAAATGTGTTAATAAACACTTTCGATTCAAAATAAGAAACAAACGAAGAAAATTAGATTAATCTAAATCAAAGATCAACTAAAGAATGAGCGCATATGATCAAAAAATGCAGTAGAAGCGAAAAACTACTCATGCACATACACTAAGTGTACTACAATTATCATTATTTAGTTAAACGAGTTATTCCCATGAGGAGGCTAGAAGCATTATTAACCTGTGAAAAGGAAAATGAATACATGCTTTCAATCCATTTTTATACCTTCAACTATTTTCCACAGTGCATTCACCCCCCTTTGAGCGAGACCACATTCGCATAAACCCTTCACAGATACGTGCGCACATTACGTGGGACGTCGTGGGATAAGCCGAAAGACACACTGTTCGCGTTACATAATCTATCCCATCCAAGCTACAGTCATCCGTGCAAGGGATGCAAAAAAATGATGCTACGTTCTTCACACCACCTTGAAGGGCATCGTCAACTGGGTTGGTGATGGCCTCCTCTGCCAAGCGCGATGCGGTCACAACGGGTGCTGTAAGTCCATTGCAGACCCCAATGACATCAGCCCCATGAGGAATAATAGGCGCAATGGAACCAGGCATCACGCGCATCAGTACCTCATCATTGGTAGACGTCACCCGCCCATCCCGCAGAAGCGCTGCCATTAGTCCTCGAAAACGCGCATACGTTCGGGGTGGGCGCAGTGCTGGGGAAACTTCGATTACCTTTCCATTACAGCTAAACATGCTAATATAAATTCGAAGGCGATGTTCATGCGCCAGATTGGAGTCACAAAGAGCAAGAAGGCATTGATGCACAATATCTGGACGAACCTCCCGTAGGGAAGCATTCGTGATTTCTGTTGTCGCTGCACGCTCATAGGCGTCCACAAGACCGACGTTTCCAAGCAGTAGACCTGCCTTTTCAAGAATTACCACCACATCCTGGCCTTTTTTGTGAGTATTGTTTCGAACAGGGCGCGTATTTCTTCCCTTGAGCCTATTAACAGGAGTCTCTTGAGAAGTATTATGAGGTATAGTTTCTTCTGCTACCTGTGGCCTGTATTCATCCAACCGGCCGCGCTTAGAGAAAGGTGGGCATCGACCTGCACTACCACCACGTCCTCTTCCGTTATGAAAGCGGCTAAACGGGGAACTATCACCTTCACTACTGCTAACATTGAAGGGCCGTTTAAAGCCTCGAGTATGTCTTTGGTTTACGCTTCTAGGTTCCATTTAAATACGTATTTGGGATATTCTTTGTAAGTGACGTAAAAAAGTAATATTTTTTTTAAGAAAAAGGGGAAGTACATAAAAGGGCATATAGTAAGGTCAGCTACAAAAGGTAACACTTACACTTGTATCATGATATCAGTAGCAAAAAAAAAAAATTAAGAAAATCGTATCTCACAAAAAAATTTTCAAGAAGGGCGTTAACAAAGCAGAAGAGGAATGATGATTTTTAAAAATGTACAAGAAGTACTTTGTTTAGTTCTGAAGCACCATCTTAAATTTTTAGTGAAGACACTGAAGAAAAGGCCTCTATGATATGTATTCCTTTTGAATCACTAGTATTTATTAGAGCCATAAAAGCTATTCTTAAAGAGGGTTACGACAGATGTATGGGTATCAATACGCCGTAATTTCCCTTGCACACCGTAAAATTTAGTCCAGAGTATACAAATTTCATGTGTCTTCAGCTATTGGCAGTTGTATTTGTCTCTAACCTTGTATATCGACAGTATTTCCTAAAGAGTTCTGTGTAGAAGCATGACCAGATGAAATGACTTCCACAGAAAGCGACAACAAAGATGAGGTAATATTTGTTGAACCAGTTGGTGATGGCACGTTGCTGCTTTCAACTATTTTATTGCCCTCTCGTCGGGCCGTCCGAAATAACATGGTGTCAACGATGTGGCCTACACGAAGTAATTCTCGCAAGCGCAACGATAGATCAAGGGCTTCCTTGGGCCTAAATCGGTTGGTAACAGAGTTCTCTGTGCTCCCAATGAGTTTTTGGTTGTCACCTGAGTACATTTGCTTTTCAGTGAGATGGAGAAATGAAACTTCCTCATTGTTAATATCTTCACAGGTATCACGTTGTTCACGAAGTAACCGACATAGTGATGCTTGACACTGCTGCATGCTCGCTAAAAGAGTTGAAACACCAGAGTTGTCTGTTGAGATACAATCAGCGGAGTCAGGTGCTTGCTCATGATTATAGAAATTACAAACAGTCTGCCATTCTCGACTTTGTTCAAAGCACTGAACGTATGCTTTCAAGAAACGCTTATTCACCTCGCCATCACTGATATGGGGAGGAAAACACATTTGTTTACCCTTATCTTCCTGTGACTGTAAGAAACGCATTATGAATGTAGCGGCTGTTTCTGAAAGGTTAAGCTGCTCTATTGGAACATATGTATTGCATTCCATAAAAAAAAAGAGGCTTCTAGCCGCGTGGTACTGAAGAAACTCTGAGAAGGCAGGTTGTAATTGTACCAATGAGCAAGATGCGAGCTGCAGGCTCAAGTCTACCCACCGTCGAATACACGCAACGAGTACTTTATCACATGATGCGTCCAGCGGGAAATAAGCCGCCTCACGAAGAAGCGACGACATTAATAAAAAGCAAGCTATCGGATCCACATTGCCTACATCACTAGGTTTCTCGTTTATAGCAGTAATAATCTGCTGAATTCCATTGGTCAACCGAGCAAACATACTTTGAAACGATGAAAGTACTGAGTGGTACTGTTCAAGTTTCTCATCAGTGGGTGTATTAAAAGGTTCTACAGCTAAGGCAAATCGAAGGTGACATAGCGCCAAAGGTAGGGCGATCACGCACTCCTCGTTCAAAAAAACTAAATTACTCCTGTCAAGCTGGTTGTTGCTTGATGTGTCTATGAATAAATTCTTGAACACATCGTTGACACTTTTAATTGCGATTGAGATTTCAGTTTTAGATTGGGTATTGTTCTGAAGACCGCATTCGTCAGTTAAAGAAAAAAAACAATAATCAGCTAAACTAAAAAAGCTAGGAAAAATATGAAGTAGCGGGGACCTCAAGTGCGGTACCATGCGCACTGCCAAAGCGGATGGGGGCAACCCAGTGAGGATAGCACTTTCTGCCCCGATGAGTGCCAGTAATGAGGCCTGTAAACGACTTCTGTATATGTAGCAACATCTTTGGTCCTCACTGGTGTGTTCGCCTTTGCGGCATACAGTAAGTGAGCATTCGTTAAAGACAATTAATCCTATCTGAAGAAGCATCGAAAGATGTTTTGCGCAGTATTCGTCCTTTAGGCCTGGTTCAGGTTCGTCCTGGTTCATACCTACACACTGAGATCGTTCCACACGGCTCATCAGTAAAAAGAGACCCAAGTACGCCTCCATCATAAGTGTTGTGTTTTGGAAATATGGTGTAGCAAGACCCATAAGCACACAAGTAAGGACAAAGGATGTGTTGTCTGTTTCCTCTTCAACGCTATCAATCTGGTCACTGTTAGGCAGGGCAATATATAAAACTTCCATCGCTCTATGCACCCATTGCTCACGCAGTGTTCCAGTATGATCCCGCTTTACACAGAACGAGTCGGCAGTGTTCTCAAGATGGGAACAGTTTGTTTGCCATAGCGCAGACAAAGGCAGATAGTCAGCCAGCTCCTTGATGCGACTCAGTAAACACATTTCTTTCTGATCAAAATGCGAAGGTATTGATGCTAGTGATGTCTTTAACGAGCAACTAGTTCCGTAACTAACCTTGGGATCCTCTGTTTTAAGTAAGGATTCTTGGAGATCAAGGGAAACAGACGGCATCCACTGGATAAGCGCACTCAACAGAAGCTGAGGGCAGCGGCGCGGCACAGCTGTGTGTGTCAGTGTGAGTTTTTGAAGTAAGCCACAGGCTGTACTAAGAAAACATGCTAAAGAAGCAGTAGCAACAACCATGGAAACAAAACTGCTGTCGCCTCCGGCAGCTTCCATCATCTCAGCCACATCGACCTCGGAAATGCATTGATACAATAAATCAACGTAACGTCTGTTGTTAAATGATGCAACAGCGTCTATTTCCTTTATTGTCACTCCGCTCAGTGAATATTCGCTAGTTCCTTCCTCCATGGTAATGGAAGCTGAACCTAGATATTCTAATAGAGTTTTCAATCGTAACAAAACATTATCGAACAGAGGTCTCAGGTTGTCATCATCTAGCTCACTGCTTGCAATTGTAAAGGATATGGAAACAAAGAGACACACTACACGTCGCACGAGAGCATATTCGCTGGCGCAGAGGAAATATTTAGGATGTGCCTTTGCCGTAAAGACAATATGAGACGCAAAAAATGTTGCGAGTTTTATCATCTTCGAATCAGTCCAATTGTGTGAAAAAACACCATGATGAAGTTGATCCAGCATGAACGACGCACCCATCTCATAGACCGACTGTGAAACATGAGAATTTGTAAGGATAGAAAGTAGAACTTTCCAGTAAATATTCAGTGTGAGAAGCTTACATTCACTGCCTGCTGACGTAGTAATGTCACAACGACGCATAACAATAGTCAACAGATCATCTCCATATTCTTGAATAAGTTTCGAATGGTTTTTCAGGATTAGTTGAACTTGATTAGGCTTTGTATCTACTTCTTCAATAGCGCGGATTAATTCCTGACGGCTAAGGCTATGCTGTTGATCCTGAATTGGCATGAATAGATCGGAATTCTAAACTAATCAGAAAGAAATAAAAATAAAAGGAAAAACAAAAAACATACAACAATGATAAAAGCATTATGATTTGGTTTTACTATTCCGAGTATGTTCTAAGTCGATTCAAAAAAAAAAGTTCCATATTTTTTTATTGATTGTATATTTATCTAAGAAAAAAACATAGTTTATAGTGCATCTATATCTCAAACCCATGTCTGATCTACCAACCAATCAAATAAATATGTATGAGTATTAACACAGACAAATTCTTGTAGATCTACGTCTCTATATCATTTTCTTCCGTTCAAAGATCAGGGAATGGTAAAGAATTTAAAAAAACTGTGACGCAAATAACAAAAAGCGCAAGTGCGTAAAGAGGATATCTAATTTGTCGTGAACAGGTTGAATCTGTCACATGTTTCAAACTATGTAAATATAATTAAGTATGAATTTATTTATTCACATGTCAGAATAAAAGCAAACCACTCCCCTTGAGAAGAAAGCCTTGAACCTTACCTTTTTGCCATCCAGTTAGTTTTCTGCTGTTTTTACAAGTATTACATAAAACTCGAAATAGTTATCTTCCTTTCACGGTGCTGTTATTGTGTTTAATTTCCTTGTATGAATTCATATAGATAAAAATATACAAATGGCGCGTTGTGAAACCCTGTGAACTAGCAGAGGGCACTGGTAAAATTCAGGTGCATATGAGACCAAGGAATTATTCAAGCTTTAAAAAAAAAGTCAAAAAGCGTTCTGTCATTATGGCAGCTAGCACTCTACGCCCTCTATGTCCAAAGTAGTGAAAAGATGAAAAGTTCATTAAAACAATCTCAAAACTAAATTAGCTCCTGAATTGTCTGTCTCAAACAATCAAATCAACGGTATGGTGCCCAAAATCCAACAGTACAAATTTAAAAAAAAAAATGAATCTATGGCTTTATCTAAATAAATATAAAGGATAAATATTTGAGTTTAAAGAATAAAACTTACCTTACCTTTGTATTCATCTTTCTAAAATATTGTTTACTCATTTATGAACGCATTTCGAAAATCATTGATGAAGAAAATGGCAAACGTACTGTACTGGTGATACTGCGCTCTGGTGTAGGTGTGGCTCCTTGTACATCAGGTGTTGATTTCTGATACTCATCACCAAGTCGAACTCTATCTTCGCCATAAATTGGTGAATATGCTTCCTTTTTCGATCTATCCTCCAGACTAGCAGGATCCCTCTCATAGCTGTGAATCCATTCCACTGCAAAGTTTACTTTTCCAGCTAGCCTGAATAAATTTGAAGCGAAGTCCTCTCTATCGCGCCTTCGTTGTATTTCAGATTCCTGTAATTGCTTCTCCAGTTCTGCACAACGTGCCTCTGCGTGAGTAGCTCTTTCCACAGCAATCTGCGCCGACTGCTGTGTGAGTTGCACCTGCTTTTGAATTGAATCCAAATAATTCTTGGTTTCTTTAGGGGTCGTAGAAGGGCTCCCTAAGACGATGTGGCGCAATGTCCTGTCAGCCGCAGAACTCTCACGGGAGTTTTGATTACGGAAAAGGATACGCACTGATGGTGGGGTTACGTCACTCATCGCTCTTGGTGTGACAGACGCTGGTCTTGATTTACGTCGCGTGATACTAGCCGGTTGTGTTAGTACTGGGTTTGATTTGCTTTTGTTTGCATGCTCTGGTTGGGCATGAGACTGCTGAAAGGATGTTCTATCGATAAAAGCTTTTCCAGGCACAGTCTTCGGCATCTCATCAGGGCTCACATTACTACGACTTTTCGAGCAGAGACTCCATGTCCGTACCATAGACTTCTCCTCACCGTGCATAGTGCGTACCCGTGACGATGAAGGAGACCGCCTTTGGGGTGCCTTGCTGCCAGCTACACTCACCACTGGACGCAGTTTCGAGGGGGGTATCCGCTGGTTCCACGCTGGTCGTATCTCTTTGACGATGCATGGTTGCCATGTTGGATGAATTACCTTGTCTTCTACGTGGTCTATGGATTGCGCCTCCAGCTTATCTTTATCTGTATTGTGCAAAGTGCTACCACCCATAGATGACGCAAGTCTCCACATGCACGAACGGGTTTCACCCTTCAATGAGTGAATATCAGAAGGCTGAGATTTTGAAGGAAAATCAGACAAGTAGTGGTAACGAGAAGACCCGGTGCGTGGGGAATAGCTGCTTTCTTGCACGTCAGTTGAACAACAATTGTGAGACTCAACTGCTACGATATGTGGCGATGGTGATCCGCTGCGTGATGAAACCTTTGCTGTATAATTTTGATCCAATAGAGTGGTTGTTCCTCCCTCCCTGACAGTTGCTTGCTGTTTTCCTTCTTGTGTATTGTGATTGCTCAATGTGTCACCAGCACAGCTCTGACGCTCTCTTTCCACCAGTCTCACAACGGGGGTCTCATCGTTGAGGCACTTTGGTACCAAGCCAGATGCTATACTCTCACCAGGTCGCTTTAATTCAACATGGACAGCTGTCGGATGTGCGAATGATACAGAAGGCATTTTAACCTCCTGAGCATAGGATTCTCTGCTAGACGGAGCCGGAGGTGCCGGTTCAGGGCTTGGAGAACGCTTTGGAATGCGAATTTCAGCTGGTGTTTTACTTTGAGAGAGGGTTTGTTCACTGTGACAATATTGAAAATTATGACGAAGTGATAGACTCAACGGAGTGAAATGAGGTATATCAGCAGACGGAGGATGTGAATCCTTTATAATGGCATCAGAGCGCTTGTGCAATTCAACTCCATTGCTACACTCAAACACCTTTAGCTCGCGTTGAAGAGGTAAAGGGATACTTTCTGTGGTAGTTCGATTAAAAATACTCTTTGTCATTGCTCCAGTAAGGTGTAACTTTCTATTAGCATTTAAAATCGGGATCTTGACCTCTGGTGCGACAGGTATGGCGAGATCATTCTTACACGACATTTTCTTTTCTTTCAAAGTAATTATACCTTTCGAAAACTATCGTTTTCCTCTTTCTAAAATGTAAAGGGATAAAAATTTTATCAATTGATATCAAAATGCGCCATTATAAAAGGATAGCGGGAGTGATATGAAAAGGAAATCACAGAATAAACAACCTCCCCTAAGTGTGTACCTATGACATTGCTATTTTAAAGGTTACACCATACAAAATGGTTGTATGCGATAAAAGTGTCTTAAATATTTGTCAAAGAGTTCACATAAGTTTAATTTTGGTATGTTTATTCGAAGGGAAATCTTCATATCAAACGTGGTCCACACATCAAATTCATGTGTTTCATTTTCGGTGAAAAAAACATTCATTTGTTGAGAATCCTTTCTAATTCTACAAAAAATACCCTTTACACATAACTATGGAAAATATCCATACAGAATAAAAGGGTCAGAAAGGTTTTTTAGAGTAAGAAGGATGATCCGTCAAGCCATGAAACAGATCGAAGTTTGCCTCCTCTTCTTTAGCTGTTTCCTGTTCTGATTTGGTGCTACCGCCTTCCTCGTATTTCGGTTGATGCAAGGCAACTTTATCGCCACGCTGAATATGAACATTGGTACCTGGAATGGTCCAGTAAGATTCCATATCATCCCACCCATACGGAGAGCGAAATGGGCGTGGAAACTGAAACGCGTCAACCATGTTCACACATTGAGGTGCCAACACTGTGACAAGGTTGTCTATGTGAGAAAACAGTGCCACAGCCTTGGCTTCACTTAGCATTTTTTTGGATAATATGAAGTCAAGACGATCCATTTGTCGTGTGAGAGCATAGATCCATCCTACATCGCGAAGAAGTTTTCGACCACGTGGATCGGTACAGTTTTGAGTTTCATTCATTATGCAATCCATGAAATACATTTCCATAAAGGCCTCTCCACAATGCACAACTTCGCGATGCTGAAACATGACCCAATCATACCATTGATGTTCGCTTCCACCTCTCCGTCGTTCTATCTCACGTGACAATCGCAAACGACGCTTAGAGGCGTAGTGCTTATGGCTAAAGAAGATGTAATGTCGACCCAATTCTGCATTTCTCGGAGAATAAAAGGGATTTTTTACAAATCTATCAAGTGAAGGAAGAGATTGAAGGAAACTAGTAAGCCACCAGCCCCAGTGTGTGGTACCGATATTTTTTGTAACGGACTTAAAGGCAACTTCACGAATAAGGGTGGTACTGTCCAATCGTTCCTTACGTAGCTGTACTACAGCAAATGCACTATCAAATATAGAACTGGACAGAATAGAATGTATCCCCAGAAACTTAAGTGCAAATATGTTCAAATCAGTAACCAATTCCTGAAGGAAATGGATTGTACCGGCCAACTTCATGTGATCTTCGTAGCGGGGAAGAATAGAGGACACATTCGTGAAACTTGAAAGTATTTGCTGCCATCCTACGAAATACACGTACGACTTAGCCACGAAGCTAACTAATGGCCTCTGTACATGTTGAATGCCAAAGTAAGGGTAATTTCTTCGAAAATCAGGTCCGACAACATCCTTCTGTGACACAAAATGCACCACATCAGTGAGTAACCTTTTTAAAAGGCCAACATAGATAGCGCCAGTCGCCAGTCTTGTTCTCATTTGCAGTAAATCTAATACGCTAGTATCAGTCCTTTTTCCCTCCACATAACTTATCCTGCCATCCTTTGTTATAGTAAAAGGATGGAGTAAATAATTGGGCTCGATACGCACCTCATCAAAGTGGATTATAGCAGATCCGCTGCTATTCAAGGTGTCGTTTTCAGATGCAATTGGTGAAACCGAAATACATTTGCATAAGTGACCGCCTTCGCGTAGTGGAACAAGAAATAAATATGTGCCCTGGTTGTCACTTTTATGTAAAGTCAATGTTGCAGACACAATTGCCCAGTCAGCAAATTCTGCCGCTACAACAGCAAATTTTCCGGTGCCTCGTATATAAAAACACTTTTCATATGCATCATAACGTGCTTCGGTATTAAACGGTGGTTCATCAGCACTCAACTCACGTTGAGCAATGCAACCAACAATTCGACCGGAATCTGCTCCTTCTAAAAGGACCCTTTGTAATTTTGTGTCAGCATGTGAGGCAACAAGACCAAAAAATGTAAAGTGATCAGCAAGAACTAGTGCAAGGGCTGGATCCACCATAGCAACGGTCTCATAAAGAGAAAGTAACCTCTGAGGAGTAGAGCGCACTTGTGCAAAAGAAACTAAATTTCTGCTACATAATCCCCGAAATAGTTGTAGCGTTTGATGAGCACTACGTTTGAAATTGGGTAATGCATCGTGTACAAAATTAGACCGCTGCTTTGGAATTATTTTCAACAGCTCATTGAATACATTTGCTTTGAAATCGATGTCCACCCCTCCACAAATGAATCGAAATGTGGGCTCTTCAAAGGCATGCTCCATAGAATACACCTGCTTCGTGGGATTTAGGCGATCTGAATAAAGATAAAATATTTTTGAAGGATTCATTACAAAGCGCCGCGAAAAAAATAGCTTTGATTGTAGAAAAGCCGTACAGTGACTACCGAGGCGCCTGCATGCCTTTGACCAAACCAATTTGCCCTGCATACGCATCATGTTATGCTTCATAAATGAATGACTAGCTATTCTGTGAAAAATGATAAGAAAAGACATCGGCAATGCATGTAATTAGTCAACTGAAATGAAATTTTAAGATTTTGCTGCGAAAAGAACAATTTAACAAAAACATACAGCGTTAATAGACGTATTATGTGTAACATTGGAATGTCCTTTAAAGTGAATATCTGGTAAAATTTGAGCAACAGCAGCCCCGTTATATTTATACCCATCTTTGTATATCAGCATATGTACCTCTGATACGATGGAACCGACTAATCAAGAAATCGAGGGATTACTACCAGCCCATGACCAGTTAATTCGTAGCCGAGAAAAAAAAAGTCATTCAAAAAGTATTTAAAATAAGTTCAGTGTATGATTAGTAACATAGTAAAGGGGCTACTCACACCATTCAGAATTGATCTGCCAATCTGCTGAAATAGTATTCGAGGGGATAGATATATCCACCTTTTTAGCATTATGCATGCGACGGTTGGGCATAGGTAGCTGCTTAGGTGGTGCTACCTGCTTGGTGGTTGTGCGCCCACCGATAAGTAGCACACAAGATGCAGAAAGGGCCACCACCCCTGCATTTTCCCGAATACTCCGGCAACAAACGAAAACTGTTTGGTTATAAACCTGTTGAATACGACCAGTTTCCCCACCTAAGTTAAACGGTGTAAATGCTGATCGCTGAATAGTGACCTCAGAGCCTTGAACTAATACATTCTGCATGAAATCCGTTGTCTGGCGCACCCCTCGTACGTTAATAGACTTTAGTTGCGCATAAGTCAAAGTTTGTACCTCGTTCCGTTCAGTTATAACCACCACATCGTTTCGTGTCAAGCCTACAATGCATGCAACTGTGTTTGCCTCAACTATGCTAACCAGGTCAAATAACTTCCATGCACCGAAGCTGTGTCTAAGCATTTGTGTCAGCTTGCTTTGATGGCAGTCATTGGCGGAAACCTTGATCTCTGTCACTGAAGAAGGGCGGTCAAGAAACAGGAGAACCACATCATTCCAGGACTTTACTACGGTTCCGCTTTCTCCAGCATAATCACCCGATCTCACCACCACGTGGGACCCCTCGGCAAAGTGCTTGACAAGTGACGTTAGCTCTACACGGAGCTTGATAAGATCTTTTAGATTAGGAGCTGCACATGAAAGAAGCGCGGTGTTATCGTTGGTGAAAATGTCGACGATAGTACCGATAGTATTGCGTAGTTGCCCCGAAGCTACTCGCACCGAATCACCAATCTGGTGAACTGCTAAACTAACACCAGTATGCGAGAGCGCCTCACGTACACGCTCTCGGTTGTTATTGTAGAAACGAGCTAACTCTTCTGCTGTGGGTTTCTCCATCTGTGGCTCAGATATTACCATACGTGATGAAAATGTCTTAATTAAATAACCTTCCTTATCAAATCGAAGATCACCCCAGCGATAGTGATCACCACGATCCTCGACACCTACCGCTCGACTTGCGACGAAGAACTGCGGAGGCAAGGGCGCAGATACTTTACTAAACGGTTTACCGTCAAAATCCTCTCGGGGAACCACCTTACAGTCGATGTGCACACCATCCTGATGCACCGACGTGACCTGGGCCAAATCCATACGATAAAAACGCGTCCTAAGACGCACAAAAGAGCCAACTCGAATCTTTTCATTTGGACTTCTTCTTTCTACCATCTGTAGCAACTGTGTCGGGTTGACAACTGTTATGTTGTATCGAAATAGACCCTCCAACCCATTTATTGCACTCTCCACAAATATCTTACGATATGCTTCTATGTAAATGTATTCCTTTACATGATCTATGCAAAATACTGATATAATGCCAAGATCAACCTTTTTCTTTTCGTAATTCTTACCAACACGATAAGCGTAGCATTTGTTCACAATACGTGTAACTAAAGTTCGAGCCATGCATGAGCGACACTTCACTGCAAATACCTTTGGATCAGAATCTTTCGGAAGCAAGTAAGAAGCGTAGCGAAGTGAGGAAAGTTTTTCTCGAGGAATAATACCCTGTAGGTCCTCTATAGACCTTTGTTTTTTTAGTCTTTGATAGCGTTCCTCAAACTCACGCCCAAGCTCATCTGCGGACTTAGTCTCATCTCCTTCGTGGAAGATAAAACGCTTGGGTGCTTCATAATGAGGTCCCTCATCCAAACCTTCCTCCACCTCATTACTTTCTTCCACAAATTCGTCCTCATCGCCATCGGTACTTTCTGCTGCGTCCAAAACGTACTTGGATTTTTTCCATTCACGATCTTCCGTGATTGGCGAACTACTCCGCTCTTTGTATCGACGTTTCTTACTTTTTTTGGATTTTGGTTTTATTGCTGCTTCTTCAGGATCTGAAAACGCGTTTTGTGCCGATTCGACAGGGGGAACAGAAATATCAATTGATGTTTCGGGAGGGAGAGTGCTTCCATTCACAAGCAGACCCTCGAGCTCCTCTAAGTTTAAATTAGTCTCGGTCATTGTTTTTTCCTTCAAACTGTAAGAAAAAAAATAAAAGAAACATTAAAAAAAAGGGTCAATAAATTTGTGCTCTCACATTAGTATAACAAAAATTCCTCAAAAATTACAGCTGTGAGTGTTTGGAATCACTTTTTATTATTATTGGAAACAATGAACGTAGACCATAAAGTACATAATATTCAAAAAAATTGTGTGAAAAATAATCGCGTGAAATTATAAAGTTCATCAATTAATGTCCAAAAAGTATTTGGGAACATGCGTATTTCAGCCAAAACTTGACTCTTCTTTAGAATACCTGTTCGGCAACCGCAGAAGTACACCCACCATCAATAAAAGTACCATGCCAACACTTCCCTGAAACATCCATGTAGATACCATTTCCATTCATCATACTATGTTTCCATTCACCTTTATAATATGAACCATCAGGCCATGCATACTTTCCCACACCATGGTAATAATTAACCAAAAAGTCACCTTTATAGTTGCAGCCACTTGGAAAGGTTAAGGTACCAGTCCCACACATCTTTCCATCTAACCATTGACCATCGTAGATAGCCCCACTGCAATCACGAAATACTCCAACACCATGTGGGATCACTGTCGGCGTAGAAGTTCCTCGCTCTAAATTAGGTGTACTAGTGTTCAATTTTGCTGCAGCTGTTGAAGAGAGACGACTTCCAGAAACTGGTTGTGTCGGATCAGCTGGTGGATCTTTTTTGATAAAGTGTCCTTCATAAACACTGCCATCATGAAATGTAAATACTCCCATACAAGATTCGCGCTCTTCCTCTTTTTTTTTGGGTGCCATTTTAAAAAATTAAACCTGTTTAATTAGTATGTAAAATGCTTGAAAAGGGTATGATCTCAAAATACACAGACAAAAAAATATATAGACAAGGATTCATTTAGTTGTTGGCAAAACATGCACAAGGATGGCATGCAATATGTATCAACTATGAAAAGACTATGCAATAGATCACATAAAGGAGTTATAATTGGTTTAAAAAAAAATCAGTGGCAAAAAAATAGTCTTTAAGAAGGCGGTATACGCTTGAGGTATTCATTTAATACCCTATACATATTATATATGCTTCTACGTAACCTCAAAATAAAACCTGGCATGATAAGAAAAAAAAAAGTATTAAACAATAAAAAGGACAATGCGCGACAATGATAATATATAAGAATTATATGAGACCACAGAAATACATGTAATGCAAGTGCAGTCGAGTACGCACCTTTTTATATCATGAGAATCAGTGCCGCAACACTAGAATGATAATCATTAAATAAAGCTTAGCAGTGTTGACTATGGGCACATTTTGTGCTATCAAGATCACAAGAAACAGCGTAACAACAGCCAGGAAAAATTTGAATGGTATTAAAAGAAAAAAAATGAAGGAAAAGGAATTAAAGTGGATATAATTATCTTAGAACCGTTTTTGGAATACCTGCTACTTATTGGAGAAAGTAATGAAGGAATATTGAAATTAAATTTAAGAACGACTCTGCGTTCAGAGAATAAAACTTCTGGGGATACCAAAGATACTACATTCATATCTTGGTTTGGTTCTGGGATAATGACCCTTGTGACAACGTACTTTAGAAAGTGAAAACCATTTCTGTTGGCGATCTTCATATTATAAAGAAGTTTGGGCATGTCTTGAGGATTAGGGCTAGTAAGATCAATCACTGAAATCCTATTATCTTCGACTAGTTATCTTTGTCGAAATCTTCCAACGACACACCATTAGCTAGTGTTATCTGTTATCTTCTATGAATATAAAATGAAGAGAGTAAAGTCTGCCTTGAATAATAAAAAGCTCGACACTAGTATAGAGACATTACTAAATAACCTATTTATAAACTCTTTTTAATATAATTTAACAGTGATACTCAAAAAGCACACAGAGCCCATAATGCATAGTGCAATCTTAGGAAAAGGAAACTTGTATTAAATATTTTTTACGCATCAGAGAATGAATGAATTGTATAACTCCCAATTTCAAAAATAAGACACCACCAGCAAAGCAAGACAATATGTTTTTATTTATTTAATACAATTTCCCTCAGATGCATACGCAAGAAGCTCACGATGTATTTGATCTTGGTGCATAGAAGCATATTCACTACCTATCTATCTATCTATATATATCTATATAATATATATAGATATAGATATATATAGATAGATAGATAGGTAGGTAGGTAGATGTGTGCGTATGTGTGATATTTATTTTTTACCATCCAATGCATCTATAGTAACACTTGAAATTAAAAGGAAAGGAAGTACCATAACATTATGATCTAAAACTATCTAAACGAACTTGCTCTCCACCTTTTTTAAGAAGGAACTCTTAAACTGAAGTATCAATACGGTCATGTTATCTGTGCCATAGTTTTCAGGTGTGATCGCTAAGCAAGTATTCATCATGCGCTCGCAGGCTAGCGATATATCCCCATGATCGGCTACTTCATTACGCACAAATTCAACTGCTTCCTCATTAGATATGGTATCCCAGACACCATCACAAGCTATAATAACAAACTCATCAAGTGGTGTAAGCTCAATATGCAATACATATGGAACAACAGTAATTATCTGTTCCTCGGATTTTAAATTACTTTTTTTGAATGCAAAATCTCCAAAAGCACGACTTAGTGAAAGAACGCTATTAACACGACCATTGTGTACATAACCACCTGCTCTTTCAATGCGTGCTCTTTCTAATGGGTTAGTTGGCTTATGGTCATCACTTAATGGAATGGCAACACCATCACGACACAGCACCGACCGTGAATCTCCTGCGTTGGCACAGTAAAGATGGTTTTGAATAATCAAAACACAATTTCCTGTACACCCACTCAATTCATTCGGCATAGTCCTATGTAAAAACTCGTCCCCAAGTATAAATGCGTCTCTTAGTGCTTTTCCAAAGTCACCACTACGAAATGCAGCTGTTGAAGTGACCCACTCACGGATATGTGATGCACATGATTGGGCAAATTTGCTGCCACGATGTCCATCAAAAACAGCGGCAATGGCACCATCCTCGTCATTCATCTTGTCAGGCATCCCAAAAAGTGAGAGATACATTGCATGTGCGTCTTCCATTGTACTTCTCCAACCCTGCATGCTACTTGCACCTGCGCGCAGTTTATCATCTTCCATTAAAATGGAATACTTGTCTTTGATGGGTGCTGAAAGAATGGATTGTGTACTGAATCTGAGGCACATTTTGCTTAGATTGTTCATTTCCACACTACTTATCAAAATAGAAAAAGGGAGAGAGGAAGAAATTTATTATGTGAAAAAATGTAAATTTCAAGCCTTCGAATATTTAAAAGCAAAAGAACCCATAAATGTTCCGATACTAGACGTAATCTTTGCGTTTGAGTCAAGCTCCTTGTCGCTAAAATTTTAGGTATATGTGATTCTCTTCCATAAAAGCGATTTGAATGACATATTAATTACTTATTCACTACTGTTAATACTTTTATGTTAAATTCATAAATGAATAAAATTACTTCTTACTGGCCTTCGACGTATTAAACTTGAAAAAGATGATATCACCATCTTGAACTTCATAATTACGGCCTTGTTGATGCTGTTTTCCTTCTTCTCGGCACACAGCTTCACTTTCAAGGCGATTAAAGTCCTCCCATTCAATAACATCAGCACAAATAAATCCCTTTTCCATATCAGAATGAATCCTACCAGCTGCCTGTGGAGCTTTGGTGCCGCGCTGAATTGTCCAACACTTCACCTCATCGGAACCTGCTGTGAAGTAATGAATTAAGTTAATAATGCTATATGCAGTCTTAATGATCTTTGGCAATTGGGATTTGGTTTTCTTTTCCTCACAATACTTTGTAATCTCTTCCGGTGTCATAGAAAGAAACTCAGTCTCAAGTTCAGCTGAAAATGGAATCATCGGTTCAGCTGTTTGCTCGTCAATCCAATCCTTTAACTTCTTCAACCACTTATTGCGCTGACGAACAAAATCGTTTTCTGACATATTAATTAAGAACATGGCAGGTTTAGCTGTTAACAGCTGAATTGTGTTCAGAAAATCGATTTCTTTTCCATTCCATTGACAACAGCGAATCTGTTTCCCCTCCTCCAAAAATGACTTGACCTTTAGCAAAGTTTCAAGATCCCCTTTCTTTGACTTATCAAGCCCTCTGTTAACAATTGGAGTCAACTTATCAATCAAGCCATTAACAATTTGAAGATCTTTCAGAACCAGTTCTGAAAAAATAATCTCTAAATCTCGAATTGGGTCTAAATCTCCCTCCACGTGAGTAATTTCTATGTCGTCAAAAACACGCACCATATGAATAATTCCATCGCAAAAGCTAATATGTGAGAGAAAGTTATTTCCAAGACCCTCTCCTCCACTGGCCCCTCGTACAAGGCCTGCAATGTCACAAATATGAACTTGTGCGGGAACGATAGATGCTGGTTTTTCAATCTGGACAAGTTTATCAAACCTTTCATCTGGTATATTTATGTCAGCTGTGTTTGGATCAATTGTGCAAAATGGACGATTCTCAGCTGGTACAGATTTTTTTGAAAGCACGTTAAAAAGTGTTGACTTGCCTACATTAGGAAGACCAACAATACCAACCTTCAAGCTACTACCAGGCCGGCCCAGAAGTATTGTTTTATTATTAACGTGTTTTTCATTTTTTTTAGGTGGCATTCTAAATATCACACTTGAAGATAATAAAAAAATAAAAAAACTCAAAAGACTAGTGCAAAAAAATCTGATGAAATTAGAAAAAACATCATAACTATTTAAACTTTTGGAGTTTAAAAAACAGAAGCGCTCAATATACCGACTGAATATGTAAAATTTTGTTTGATAATACTTACAAAGTGATACGATCATTTGGTGTTACACTCTCAGCAGAATGTGACCTTTGTTGCATACTTGAGTCATGGTGAGCACATCCACAACGCAGCCCATTTAAGATTTCTTTTAGATGAATCAACTCACGTTGTTTCCTCTTAATAATCAGATCATTTTCCTTCAAAGCATTGATAAATATATTAATATCATCTTCATGACATGTGAACTTCGGTTCATCTTCTGAATAAGATGATATATCTTTATCACTGCCTATGTTATTTAAGTAGCTTTGAATTTCTTTATTACTATCTACCAGCTGCGTAATATCAAATTGCATTTTTTCGATATCGTTATGTAGGTATTCAAAATCTGATACACCGTCAGTGTTTGATGAGAGTTGCAAAGAACTACTAATAGTTTTGTTGGATCTTGAAATCATGTAAACACCGGGCATAATCATATCACCCCATTCATCTTCCTTTGCACTCATTGTATATTAGCTACTATAATTTCTAAAATACACTTTGCCCTGAGCTAATAATTATAAATAAAATGAAAGAAAAAAAAGGGGAAGGTTAAATGAAAGTTCAGTTAATCCGCAGTTTGAAACTAAATTTTGAATTTCAAAACTACTAATATTTGTGTGAGGTTATGTCCTTCAGTAGAATATATTTAAATAATTTTTTTTACGCAAATAGTTTGTTGCGATCTAAGCATTTTGTAATACACGAATACAATAATTTAAAGTTTCAAAAACTCTGGTAGAACAAAAAAGCTTTGAAATTATCCGTCGAATAGTAACTTTTTCTGAAACTATTGTTCTATTCAAGAAAAATGGCTCACATAAAAGATTCACAATGAGTAATTTAAATAAATCGAGAAATGCATCAATATGGGTAAAGGATGTTTTACCTGGACCGATAGCCCTTAAGGAAAAAAAAAATGGAAAAGAAGGGATACCATGATACTGAATTTTGTCCTTCCCTGAAAAAGAACCATCATTTTTTAAACCAGAGAACAGCTTATTTGGTGTGCTCTTCCTTTTTACTAAAACAAAAACACCAAATGAATCTCTTTTAAATTTCAATTGCACTGAAGCTAAATGTCTGAATAAATTTCGCATTGAAAATAAAAATTCATCTATAGAGAAAAAAAAGGACTCATAGATTATTTCTTTTAACCCATATATTTGCACCTTACCAAGTCGTTCAAACCAAATTATATTCTCTCTAAGGAGATGCTCCTTAATATCATCACTTATAGTTTTTTGAAACAAAAATTACTTTCACTCCAACCTTTATAAGAAAAGACATAAATTTTGATGTATTATGAGAATGTTGAATGGAGGAAATAATCATAGCCCTCATTGTTTTCATAGAATATTTACGCATCCATGGTAATATAGCGCTAGTGAACATCTGATACTCAGATTGGACTGATAGGCGAATAATAAGTGCTGCTTTACCTGGAATCGATGGATTAAAATTTGAAGATTCATTTAATCCAAATATTATTCTATCAGCTTCAAAACCTATGTTAGAAGAGGTATTTAATCTAAACTGATCATATTGATCCATGGAAGTTTCTAGACGAACAAAGTAATTCTGTGTCAAAGCATCACAATCAATACTAGAATATAATGAATGATTACTGAAACTCCGGCATCTTATTTTGCATTGTTCAGCCCATAGTAATAACTCCTCTGTGGTACCGAATGTGTCCAGAAGGGAAATGATACAGTAGAACTGCACAATTTGCTCAAGGTTTTGCTTTTCACACACATCAATTTCAAGCAAAAAAAGCATCACATGAAACATGTGTGAATTACTGCAATCCTTAACTTGCTTAATAAGATAGACCAAAGATCTGACTTCGCTCTCAAGAAACAATGAATATACCTTTCTTCCTCGGAGATAGCTAAGGCAATATGCCATCATCAGCCCCGCTAAGCGCCCACAGCGCATATTTTCTTGAAACTTAAATTTCCAAAGCATGTCGATATAAGTAAAAAAAAAGGTGAAATAAAAGAAAGTCTAAAAAGAGATAGAAAAATACGAATCGCCCATTCGAGGGACCTCCCGAAGGGGCTCATAGCCAA